TGCTGCGTTTCACCCACAAATACACAGTCAATCGGCTTTACAGTATATTCTGAGAAGCGCTTTGAGACGTCTCGACGACTAGATCAGGCGCTATAACAAATGCAAGGAATATTATCCACAAGGTGAAAGTTCAGCTATCTACTGCAATAATTGTAATTTATTAATTATTCAATTATTTATGAAATCGTATTATTTTCAAAAAAGACGCTAAGGTTTTGACAGTGTTAAAGCTACTTCCCACCTCCAGCCCTGCATGTGCAGATGGCTCTTTCAGTGCGCAATACAATCATTAACTTTTAATGTCTGTACGGCCATATGTGCCTGTGTAAATGATGGCACCTTCCAGATGAACGGGGTATAAAAGATTGTGAAAGTCAGTGATTGGAAGTATGGCACGTTAAACAAGGTGGAAGGCAGAGTTAGCAATAAAACTTTGCTCGGTGACTGAGCTTTCAGCTTCTACATCCCTAACCTCTGGATCGTGGAAGTCCTGTAGCTCAGTGATTAGAGCACTCGCCTGGCAAGCCGAGAGACCTGGGTTTGATTCCCAGCAGGGTGAAACCTTGGGCAAGTTTCCTTACTCCACAAGTCTGACAATAATCCCTCAAAAAAAGTAATAAATTGGAAACTTCAATCCACGACTGCTTGTGGGACGCTGCTGTGCACAACTGGCTGCTGCGTTTTGCCCACAAAATACAGTCAATTCACTTTACCGTATACCCTGTGAGGCGCTTTGAGATGTCTAGACGTGAAATGCACTATATCAAATGCAAGGATTATTATTATTTATTATAATCTCATTCCCCTGCTCTTTCCCCTGACCTATTAGAATTATTTTTTCCTCAAATATTTTTCGAATCCCATTTTTAAATGCTGCTATGGACTCAATATTTTCAATAGTCATTTGCAGCAAGATTTTCCGTAGCCTGGAGCTCTGAGCCTTTCCTGATGAACTCTTTTTTGATGTAGTCCATATGATGTCGGCCTTTCCTGTAGCATATTGCCATCTACAGGCAAACCACAGCAACGTCAGTAACAAACAGCAGGGGAATAATCTGCAGTATAAAGGGTAATAAAAATGCTTATTACCACACTCAATGTGCTCCAAAGCGTTATTCGATCAAGGTGTTTTAACATTAAAAACGTGTTTAAGCACATTACATGTAAATGGTTTCGAATGCGGTGACTGTGTTTTTGTAGCGAAAGTGGCAGTCATTTTGAGAACAGCCCAAACACAGCCATAAACTTCATATCTAATTAACCTGGAGCATTGCTGGTTAGAACACTGGAAGAAACTCCCTCCTCTTATCCAGTGTTATCGTGAAATCCTTTAGGTCCACCTGAATAGGCAGACAGAACATCAGTTTAACAGCTCATCTGAAGATGATAATAAATGGCCTCTTTAACAAATAGTGGTGGAGGCTAAAATGACTTAGCATTGTGTGTGTGAGTGTCTGTATGGTGTTTGATCAGGAATCATACTCACAAATGTCAGTTTGGCTTGGTTGACAGCACTCCAGTCCCGAGACAGCGCCTTGGGACATCCTCCCGACGTGAAAGGCACTATACAAATGTAAGATTGTTGTTGTTGTTGTTGTTGGATCATAGGATTATTGGAGCAAGTCCCACATCCTTCTGATTGACCCAACCACCAGCTCAGGTGAGGATCCCTCACTGTACAGCGCTTCGGGACATGACATGAAATGACGTGAAAGGTGCTATGCAAATGTAATTTGTTGTCAGGTTGTTGTTGATTACTTGGTCATACACTTCCATGGCTCTCTGTGGGACCGTGTGTGTGTGAGAGCGCATGTGTGAACGCGTGTGTGTGAGCGCGTGTGTGTAAGACTGCATGTGTGGAGCGTGTGTGTGTGTGAGTGTGAGAGCGCATGTGTGTGAGCGCGCTTGTGTGAGCACGCGCGTGTGTGTATGAGCGCGCGTGTGTGAGCGCACGTGTGTGTGTGTGTGAGCGAGCGTGTGTGTGAGAGCGCATGTGTGTGAGTGTGTGTGAGAGTGTACGATTACTTTAAAAGAACACAAGTTGACAATTATTCGCTGTAAAGTGAGTTTTGACATAGGATAAAATTCCTCCTGGCACTAGATTTACTCTATTAATGTAGCATTTTCCAAGCATACAGAATTTGGCAAATTCTTAAAAGAGCCTTAATGTTGATGCTTTTCTATAATGTCCTTTTAAGAACTACAGGGAACCTGCTTCAATTTTAAAATGGAATTCAACAATTTGCTAAATTCAGCAACCATCCGAAATATTATATTCAAGTGAATCTGGACTGAATGAAAGTTTCCCCCAATAAAGCGCAAGTTTTCTCTCTCTCTCAAACAATAGCCATTTGAATGAGATACAACATGTTATGCAGTGCCCCAAGCACCCCCTGCATTGAATCAATCGTGGAGGAGAGACCTTGGAGGAAGGGGATGACTTCTTCCTATGATATATTTCAGCTTTTATAATGCAATACAATATTTGGTTCATCTTCTGGTTTATTGATATGGTGGAGAGATGGTACTGTCAGCACAAATCTGCCTTCCATTAATCTCAAAGCAAATGTTTGCAATGCCACCAAATATCCTTAGCTTTGCTTAAAAAATATCTCCAATACTAGAGGCATGTCCAGATCAAAATTATTAATGATTTTTGTTTTGTGGCGCTGTGCGTTTCATTCTTCCATCCTCACTTTGTTTCCGTGTCAAAGTAGTTGTCAGTCCAGAAGTGATGCTTACAGCAGATGTGAGACCAAGACTCAGTCAGCCTAGTTTTGAATTCTGTTCTCCACGATAAGAATTCCTAATAGGTTTTCCACTCTGGTGTCTGACAAATTACTCACCTGTGAAGCCATCAATCTTGTGTAGAAAACCGAGTGGAAAGCAAACCTGATAGAATTTAATATACATCAGATATCGCCCACCTTGGCACTGATGTGAGCAGGCTCCTGTTAATGCACTGCTATACTGACAGAACCATATTCTTACACAACGTTTCTAGAAATCTATGAAATTAAAATAGATCTTACAAAACATCAGGTTGTTATAAGGTCTATTAGGAACCTGAAGTTGATTTGAATTTGACTTCCCATTTATCTTGGCAGAGAAAATAAATCAGTTGGAAGAGCTCTGGGGGTAGACAGTGGATGGGAGTAGTGGTGCAAAACGTCTTTGACTGTACACCACAAGCACTCTTGCTAATCGTGCATCAGTATTGGATTTGGAAGACAAAGAGAATTTCAGCAAAACAAATCTGACTGAGCCAATTGGCTGTTTTTTGCCCACAAAACATAGTCGCTACATTTTCCAGTGAAGTCCTGTGGTGTTTTGAGGCATTCCGCAACATGAAAGGAGTTGCATCAAAGGATTACTACAATGCAGAGTAATTTCATAAGAGTATACAGAGCTGGAAAAAAATTGAAGGTCACGCCTCACATTGAGCTAAGGGAATTAAAACATTTTTTTAATAATGTACCTCAGCTGATTTTTCTTAGTCAGCTGGGTGTCTGATACACAGAAGCCCTTTGCCACGTTTAAGATTATGCAAATACAAATGGAAATATATCTCAGTTTCCGGCATGGAATCCACTCTCCCCCTTTGGAAGGATGAGAAAGTAACACCAGTAAAGTGATCAATCATTGTTTAACTGACGGGGTCAGATTCTGCCACTGTCAAGCCAGGACACTACCCCGTGTGAAGGACGTTATAGGAATTCAAGTTGTTGTAGCTCTGGGAAGAATTAGACACGGGTTGGTGAAAGCATAGGCCTGGGGACCCCAGGGTATGTGTTGGGTACTGCTGGAGTTTAAAACTCGGTTTGCCATTGTAAACAGTCTCGAAAGCTACTCATTACTTCTGAGCGAAAACTCCATTAAAATCATGGGAGGGACCATGTACAACTTTTATTTTTCACCTAGTTAATTTCTTCCAATTAGATAAATGTGTATAACTTTGCATTTGTTAAAAAGTTGGTTAATTGCTTTCATCTGGCATGCAAATAGGTGATTGGGATCGCTGCCCTGAGCAATGGAAGTTTAACACGAGATTGCAAGAACTGCTTTATTCCCCCAATATAAGAGGGAGCTCACTTCAAAGGAAGTCAATTATAATTGGGAGTTCACACATCAATTTTAGCCTGAGGAATCTCTTAGCTCCTTTTATGACCGTGTAAACAGTGGAATACGGCAATCAGCTTATAAAGTCTTGATGTGCCACGTAGCAAGTTACTCTATCCATATTTTGCTCCAGTCTCATAATTTGAGCTTGTTTTCCCTCATTGAAAGATACAATACCTCTGAATTTTAATACACTTTATATAACAAAGTATTTTTCCATGTAGGATAAGTTATCGGATACTTACTTGATAATAATAATCCTTGCATTTGATACAGTGGCTTATCATGTCTTCGAGATGTCTCAAAGCGCTTCAACGGACAATATGAAAAATAAGATGAGGATTGGTGCTTACAGACGGTTTTAAGCACTTTTGGGGTCAGCCGTCACCATTTTTAAGAGCATCTATCCAATCCAAACTGCTGAGTTCCACATATAGAAATTACCATTTGTCTGGTGTGGAGTACAACCATCACCAACAACTTGCATTTATATAGATCCTTCACAGGATAGCGCCTGAGCACTGGCAGTGTTGGATGTTGCACTTGCTCGCCCTGGAGTCAATTACTAATGTCATTCCACGAGGAGAATAAAGTGCGTGTGTTTCTATTGCAGATTTGCTATTCTGACCATCTTACCATCTGCTCTTCACCATTAAACATGATATAATAACACAAGATTGTTAGCTCTGGAATTATATCCACAAAATAGTCAATCCACTCAACGACTTGATAAGATGGTATATGGTGGTAGACCCTGAAAAATTCACTTCTCTTTTCTCCACCACTCCCCCAGACTGCACTCCAAAACTCAGCTTAGATTGTGAGCTCCGTTTTTGACATAAATTCAAGAGCCCACTTATAAAAATGAACAAAGTCCATCATCAAATTATGAAGTTTTATTAACAAGATATAAATTGATTTTATAAATATATTACTGTACAGTATTTAAAATTTCCACCAAGCAAAAAAATAACATTGAAAAGCAAAATGATAAACATTCAGTATATTCTACTTTCTGTAAGCATCACAATATTAAAAAAAAAGACAAAAGTGTGTAAAGTGTGCATAAAATCAAAAATTGTACTAGAAATCTTGGCTGGGAAATTACTCAACACTTTTTTTTGATGAGCCTGGTTCTGACATTTGGATATCCATTAACATTCTTAAAAGTATCTAAACCACAGATAAGCATGCCACATACAAATGGAAATGTTCCTATCTTTGAAACAAAATGTGCACTCACTCCCCAGAGATGCATCTTCTTACCTAATTCCCACAAATATTCAGCACAGATTAGGAAGAGACAAAGCTTGGGGTCCCAGAATGTGTTATGGACCTGTTGATGTTTGACCAACTAAAACTGTATTGTGAATTCCGTCTGGCAAGCTTGCTGCTGCAAATCTCGCTTACAACACCTTACCCATTGGGGCTTTAGCTTGCCATGTTCATGGGTGCCAGGTGCAACAAATCCTGCTCCCAGTGATCCTGCCCCTTCCAAGTCTTGTCTGCTTTGTTTGTCATCAGCGATGGAACAAGGTAACCTAGCCTGGCTCAGCAATTGGTACCAAGAGTAAACTGGATTCCAAAATGTCAAACATATCACCGTAGACCCAGCTGTCTTCCCCTCCCCAAGGATAGTACAAATACAACTATGGAAGCGTATCCCACATTTACTACATTGCATGCTTTGTAACTTCACCTTTTAACCTTAATCTTTGCAAAGATTCTGGCACTGCAAATATGCTACATGGGTATGTTAAGTTCTGCTTCCAAGGCTGATATTGAATGTCAATTCTTCAGTTGATTTCAATTGCAGAAATTAAAAAAAACAAATTCAAAAAGAGCAGAATTAGGTTAGCCAATGCACTGCCACTCTGCTGAAAATGCACATTGAAATGTTTCTAATTTGCAACACAAGGGAATACCAACAGTATTTATGCCCAATAAGAAAGTTATTGGATCCAATTATACCCAAATCAGTCAGAGAATAACCTATTAAAAATATTGTGATTGTGTGGGTTGTATAAAAATAAACACCTTATTCAATAATTTGCAGATTGCATAATGATCTGGCTCAAAAGTTCAAGTCTTTGTATAACTGCGCTGAACACGTCAGAATTATGTACATAAAGAGTACCCAATCTAAATAACTTTTGGTTTAAGCATCCAATCCACTAGGATGAGGTACGTCACCCTAATACAAAAAGGTAAAAGAACTCTTTGTATTTTGTTTGATCATGATTTATGTTGTGACTCTTGTACTAATTCAACCATGTACCCTCCATGAATGAAAGTGGTTAGGCAAAATATTTTGTGTTATGCTATATTTACATATTATACACATGGTACAGGAATTGAAAAAATTAAATGACAACATTGGGAATCATACAGTATCAGAAGGTTAAGCTTTTTTCAACAGTGGTGTAGCAGAAGTAAACATAGTGACATTTACACCAAGAATATTATTGCAAACTGTCCGATCAGTAAATGCTTGCATAAAAGATATACTGCCACTTAACACCTCCATCAAAAGCCACTTACCAGCTCTTCTCGAAGGTGAATTTTATCAGGCTAAGAAATAATTATGTGCTGCTGCTGATCCCAACACTGACACCAAATACAAAGATTTCACTGTAGGAACATCAATCAGTTGCCTAGAGTAATGCTGGTTTTACAATTCACCCCAAACTATTCCAATACTTTGCCAGGAGTGAAAAGCTTGTGGCAGTTATTTTGCCAGTCAGATTGTTGTACTTGTGCAACACATTGTACAGTCTATACGGGTGCTTTGAGGGGTCTGGAGGTTCAACTTTGTTAAAGCGGCAGCAAACATATAATATCGGGACAGCCATGAAAGTGTAGTGGATCGAGCTGCAGATTATAGACCACTTTAGTTCAAATCTCACTCTGTGATGAATTTTCTGGTCTCAAACAAATCTCTAATTGGCCCTGACCTTTCTGGGGACAAAGAAGGAAAACAGTCAGGTCGTGCTTCTTCTACAGACAAGTGGCCTGCCAAAACTCAAGTGAACAGCAGGGACTTAGGCCGGTAAAACAGCACCTGAGGAACTGCATTCAAGCATGAAGCTCGGGATCAGGAGCACAGACCAATGGGGAGATAAACTGGACACTTGTATGTACAAAGAGACCATTATAAACTATTCGCAAAATAAACAGAATAATGAAACAGAATCGCAACTAATCCCTTAAATCAATTACTAGAATTGAATTTCAATTAAAATTGTAACTGTATCTTATTACCTTCCTCACTTAAGCCACATAATACACCAACAGTTTGCCAATAATTTGACTGTAGTACACAGCTGACTCATTAGAAATCAACTGTAGAAACTTCCCTGTAGAATGCAATAAATAAGTCCTATTGGACGATTTCTTTCTGCCCCCACATTTCCTTAATTTTTATAATAATTGAGAATAATGCTTCAGCTTGTAAATACATCCACATTCCAAAACACAAGCATCTTAATATAGTATGAATCACCAAATTTGGTGATTTGGTAAAAATAAAAAAAAGAACTTCTGTATTCCCAAGTTGGTCCGCTATGCAAGAGCTATTGTGTGGCCATCACACACTTGTGTGATATCAAAGTGTCACAGCCAACTGCCTGTGGGGTAAAGATTTTCCTTTGAATGTATAAAGCATTGTTTTATGTATGAAGTCTGACCTGTTTATAGATTATACAGAATTTTTCAAAAATAAGCATTTAATAAGTTTCTGTAGGTAAGGTATCATCAATCCTCACTAATGAGGCATGTCAGAATTCTTAATAGGATGAAAAATATACCCAAGAACAATTATAATGCAGAATCTAATTAAACATCAGATAAACTTATGGAACAAAGCTCTAGCATTTCAGAAGTTCTCTGAAGTCTGAAATTCAATTACAGATTTGACATCTCTTCCAAATAGCATTTCTTTATATGTGGTTTTAAAACCGACTTTTGTACATGCTCTCATGTGATGGTCATAAGATAACTGAACAATTACAGCAGTAAAACTGTAGGTCTATGAAGAATAATGTGGTCAATTACTGAAAATTCCATTGCTGGTACAGATTATAAACAGGCTTCAATGGTTCTGCATTGCTAATAGTGACACAACACCCGTTTTGAGTTATAAAAAAATACTGGTACAAATGCATGCAAGACAGATTGAATTCTAACAAGACTGGTTACAAATTAAATAGAAAAATACTATACTGTATAGAAAAATCATATTGTCAAACTGTTGATGCAGTTGTGCAGATATCCACATAGTTGAACACTTTGGTTAACGTTTTCAGGTAAGAATATTAATATAAAATCTGACTTGTGCAGATTCCAATTTCTTGCAGTATGCACTTGATAGTGTGCATCATACAAATAACAGGACGATAACTTCAGTATTGGTGACTTATTTCAAATCATATATATTGATGACTTTATAACAAAATGAAAGTATTGTTCCATTTCATGACACTGTATTGTAGAAGAGATGTCCAGATGATCAAAATTTTGGCAGACTCCCAACCGGTGCCAACAAAATAGCAAAAACGTAGAACAATCCCATTAACAGATTCAGCTTTGCAGTCTTCTGGGGAATCTTGATATAATTTTGGCTTCGAAACTGACGTTCCAGTGAAAACGCTAAAGGCACAGTTAAAAGCGGCAATGCCATACTGACAGTGTAACGAGTGGCTAAAATACAAAATATTATATAAGGTATGAAAATTAGGAGGTTGTATAAAATATAAGACAATGCAGGTCCAATGATAATAGCAAGGGTAACTATTCCAGCCTGCTTATCAGACTCCATGTCTCTGGTATTGTTGCTGTGCAAGATGGCTTCTGTGTTGAGTGCTAAAGGAATGGCATAAACCAACGGCGATACGGCTAAGTAACCCACTTGAACAGCATAGGCAAACATTACAGCCAATGGTCCAAATGTGATGAGTATGATGATATCACCCAGGGCAAAGTATTTGAATCCAATACCTGTAGGGAAAATTACTTGCATTAAAAAAAGTGGAAAAACAATTTTGCAATCATTACTGTCCTTAGTATAAGATTTTACCCGGAGAATTTCCGTCTAGTATTCGTATAATGCAATTAGACAATCAAAATAGTTCTCAAGTAGCTTATAGATGCTACATTTAACTATAGAGGGAAGGTAAAAAGAACTAATCTGTTCAGAATCTTAGTTTCTTTTGTTAATAAGTTAAAAGTAGAAATATACCAATCCTATTTCAAAAAAGCAGTAACAAGCAGATTTCTTAAATTTCCTCGAAGGAATGAAAAATATTTTTGGGGAAATTTCTTAAAAGGATTTATTAATACAGAAAAGTCTCAAAGAAACTTAATAGTGTCTGGTACTGCACTATCAAACTACAGGAATCCTGCTCCAATACATTCTGAAACATAGAGGGAAAGGGAATACGAGAAGAAAGAAAATATCATTTAAATTGTTTGTTTTCACAAGGTGGTGAAATGAGCTTTGTAAATGGCAATAATGTTTTGTCAAAAAATGACATTGCAGGTAGAGAAGGTAGTTAAAGAGGAAAAAGCACTGGGATTTATATACAGAGCCATTAAACGCAAAAGTGATGAATTTATATAAGAAATAATAAACAATTCCACAGCTGGAATTTTGTGTACCATTTTGGGCACACATTAGAAAATTAAACAATTCTTGCATTTGATAATGACTTATCACGTAACATTAGATATAGCACTTTTCACGTCTTCTAGACATCTCAAAGTGCTTCACAGAATATGCTGTAAAGTGAATTGTGGGCGAAACGCAGCAGCCAATTGCGCACAGCAGTGTCTCACAAACAGTCATGGATTGAAAATGACCAATTTATCATCTTTTTTTATAGAGATTATTAGCAGGCGTGTGGAGTAAGAAAACTTGCTCAAGAATTCGCCCTGCCTGGAACTGAACCCAGGTGTCTCGCTTGCAAGGCGAGTGCTCTAACCACTGAGCTACAGAACTCCACGAACTCAGGACTCAAGGCGCTTCACAGAATATACTGTAAGGTAGAATGACTGTGTACTTTGTGGGGGAAACACAGCAGACAATTGCACATAGCAATATCCCCCAAACAGGCAATTCTATTTGGAGGATTGTTGGCCAGGACCTCAGGAGAAGTCCCCTTCGCTTTTGAATAGTGCCATGAGATCTTTAACATCCACATGAACAGCCAGACAGCACCTCTGGTTTAACGTCTCATTCGAAGGATGGCACTTCCGACAATGAAACAAACTCCCAGGACTGCACTGGTGGTGTCAGCTTAGACTATGGGTTTCCGAAATGGGGCTTGACTCAGAGGCGAGAGTGCTTCCACTGCGCCAGGCTGATACACACAAATAAAAACTAATGAGAAGGTTCAATGTGGTTCACAAGGGTGATGCAAAATTGACCTTGAAAGGTATGAGGTTAGGCTAGAATAAATGTCATTGAGGGCAGTATGAAGCTGTCCCACTGTTGGTCCAGCTAGGACCACTCTACCTGTAAGAGCTTTTGATTGCGAAGGCAAACGGGAGATGAGGAAGTAGAGTCCCTATCCCCAGTAACCTGTCTGTCCTTTCAATTCCTGCCGGTGAGCCAGGGTCAGGTGACTATGCTGTCATCTCAGCCCTTCCACTCGGCTGGCTCTGATCAGAGGGAATCCTTGCCCCCAGGGAGTGGTTTGCCCCTCCAATTCCTGTGTGGTCATTCAGTGCCTTGGGACATCTTCCCAACATGAAAGGTGCTATACAGATGTACATTTGTAGTTGTTATCAGCAGTGGAGTACTCTGGACTCATCTGACCTAGAGACCACCAGAGGGTGAGCTTGACTCCAACATTCCATTGCCAAACATGTCACCTTGGAGTCAGTTGAGCTCCAAGGAGTACCCCCCACCCCATCTCTTTCCCCCAAATGATAGTTACTAGTTAGTCATTTGACATCCGACAAGCACCGGTTTAAGTCCTCACTGGATATCAGTAATGCCCTTGCTTGTGGGCAACACAACTCAGCATGAAATGCGTGAGAGCATTGCCACTATCTTCCTGTTTGCAGCTCGAACACACATCTTCCTATTGAGCGATGGTTCCACCAGCAGCTGCCTACCTCTCTGTAAACTAATCAAAGTGGATTCAGGCGTTGGATGTATAAACACATGTCCATGACCTTTGAGACTCCAGGTAACCCTTTCCAGCAGCTGCTGCCCTAAGCATCATCAGCTACCTGACAGACATCTGCCTTCAGCATGGTGGGAGGACCTTTACAGGCAGCTTCGACATCCCAGCCACCTTGATATCTTCAAGTCAAAGTCCAATGCCTTGTACCAGGGTTACTCAGCACCAGCTGCTTAATTCTGGTCATCATGTGATGGGCCTTGGTAAACAGACGTGCCTGCTGTGAAGCAGATTCTGTCTCCAGGGTGCTAAGTGACAGATCGGTGTAGGTTAGAGCTGTCCCTCCCTGCTTCTCAGGCTTGCCACATATCCACTTCACTGCTTGTTAATGGACTTTGTAAATGGGCCAAAGAAAACTCCTCCACTGTATCCCCAAGAGCTCGGATCCATAAAGAAGAACTGTTTGCACACAGGCAGGAGGACCGAAAGCTTAACGATCTGACTTTCAATAAAACTAGGTCAATCATAATTTAATATTCCGAAAAGAAGCAAATGCAGACCATTTTTTGGGGGTCTTTTGGGTCAGCCAAGAGCTTTCACCACCTCAATTTCCTTAAAAAGAGACACGGCAGAATCTTAAAGATAAGGAATATTAAAGTGAGTGGGAGGATCAAACAGGAGTGGGATTACACGCAGCTCAATGAAGAGAAAGTCAGCAGCATAGAAATGATTAGTCGGATACTGTGCTATAATAGCTTAGGTCAAGCCTGACGTCCAGACATGAACTCAGTGTAAGCTGCAACGCGAGCAGCTATCCTTTGGATATGACATTAAACCATATCTCATCTACTTCTTCAGGGCAGGGATGTTATTGCAAAAAAGAGGGGGAAGTTTCTCCTGGAGTGCTGGCCAACAATCTCTCCCAGTCCCATGCAACTCATGGCAGTTTATGGGATCCAGAGTAAACCGGCTGTAGTTTCCTATAAACACATAGAAACTACAGGTGAGTCATTCTTTCCCAGACACATTTGATGTTATTTCAGAGGCATTATTAAGAGTGCAAGGACATGGCTGGCTACAAAATACACAGTCACTTCACTTTACAGTATATTCTGTGAAGCGCTTTGAGCCGTCTCATAGATGGATAAGGCGATATATCAAATGCAAGGATTATTATTATTATTGTAGTAGTAGTATGCTTCCCACTTTGTGGGGGGGGAGAGATGGTTCACTCACCCCCAGTGTACAGGAAGGAGCTGGACAGCCCCCCAAAGAAGATCAGCGCCAGATGCTCGAGCTTCAGCTGGGACAGGTAGTAGAGGGAGGTGGCGCAGAGGCAGCCCAGGCTGTAGAGTACGGCCCCGAACCGGACCACGTCCTGGGGCTCCAGAATGCGGTCCACCAGCGTCCGGTCGTCGCTCTTCTTGTGATCGATACCGCGGGTGAAGTCGTAGTAGGTGTTGACCACGTTGCCGGCGCCGTGCACGGCCAACACGGCCACCGAGGCCAGGACGAAGACGGCGAGGTCCAGCTGCCCCTGGCTCTTGTAAGCCAACGCCGTGCCCAGGGCCACGGGGGTCAGCGAGGCGCTGAAGCTCCAAGGCCTCAGGGCCAGCATGTAAGCCGTGCACTTGTGGCTCAAGCTGCTGCTGTCGCCGCCGGGCGCCGACTCCTCGGCGCTCGCTTTGTTCGGCTCCGAAGAACGGTCCATGTCAATCGGGCTCGTCGCCCCGTTCTCCTTCATGGCTTCTCCCCTTCCCCTCACCTCACGTCCCCCGGAGTGCGCGGCCGCCGCCAAACACAGAGCAGCGGACGAACTCCGTCACTTCCCGCCCTCCCAGGAAACAGCACTCTGCGCCTGCGCATCAGCCAGCTTCCTTCACAGGTCGCTCGCGCCGCCAACGGAATCTCCTCGCGCGCGCCCCTTTGCCACCCCGCGCGCGCCCCTTTCCCACCCCGCGCGCGCGCGCGTACGTAGGTACGTAGCACGCAGCGCGCCACTCTACTTTGTGAATGGGTTGCCGCCCCATTTACTCCGCCCCCTCCCGCTTTGCATCGGTTCGATTGGACTGGTTCACATGTCAACACAGCCCTCCTTATCCACGATTGGTCCATTTTCCTCGTGATGCCGCCCCCCCCCCTCCCCGCCCCTCTCCGCAGCGTCATGCCCGGCTCAGCTGTAACTCCAGTTGGTCGAGCGTCTTGTCAATCACCAACGGCGCGGCTCATCATTGGTTCATTCCTCTCCCGCCTCCCGCCCCTTCTTGCTCAGGTTGGTCGCGGGGGAAGGCATCATGGCGGCGCCGCGGCGGTAGAGGATGTTTTTGCAGTGCATAACCTCCCGATTCTTGAGCTGTAGCAACATTCCTGTAAGCGTTTCTGCACCGGGACGCGGTGCCCATCTTCCTGTGGAATATTTGTTAAATGTTCGCCTTTTGGGGGATGTGATTTAAGCCTCTTAACATCTTGAGGGTGGGAGGGAGAGTATGGGGGGTGAGGGGAGGGAGAGTATGGGGGGGTGAGGGGAGGGAGAGTATGGGGGGGGGGTGAGGGGAGGGAGAGTATGGGGGGGGGGTGAGGGGAGGGAGAGTATGGGGGGGGTGAGGGGAGGGAGAGTATGGGGGGGTGAGGGGAGGGAGAGTATGGGGGGGGGGGTGAGGGGAGGGAGAGTATGGGGGGGGTGAGGGGAGGGAGAGTATGGGGGGGTGAGGGGAGGGAGAGTATGGGGGGGGGGGTTGAGGGGAGGGAGAGTATGGGGGGGGGTGAGGGGGGGGAGAGTATGGGGGGGTGAGGGGAGGGAGAGTATGGAGGGGGGGGTGAGGGGAGGGAGAGTATGGAGGGGGGGTGAGGGGGGGAGGGAGAGTATGGGGGGGGTGAGGGGAGGGAGAGTATGGGGGGGGGGTTGGGGGTGAGTGGAGGGAGGGAGGCGGAGGTCATCTTCTAGAGTTTCTTGAAGTTCTGTCAAAATGTGTATTTATTTCTGTGGGGAATGACTAACTGGAAGAATTATGCCAGGCCAGAGGTGGATGGATTCACAGCGCTTTGGAGGGGCCGGGCGGGGGCGGCGCGTGGTCATGGTGGGGAGAGAGGGGAGGGAACGTCTTGGTCTATAATTCTACCACTAATCCTTTGCATTATTATGTCGTCAAGACGTCTCGAAGCGCTTCACAGAACAAACTGTAAGGTGTAGTGACTGTGTATTTTGTGGGTGGAATGCGGCAGCCAATTGTGCACAGCGGGAAGAGGGCAGTCATGCGTGGTGGCAAAAAAATGATGCAACAACAAGATTACTTGTGTATAGCGCCTTTCACATCGGGAGGACGTCGCAAGGCACTGGACAGAGTACAGCATTTCAGACCCGACATGGGGTTGTGGAGGGGGGGTAAGGAAGGGGAGGGAAAGTTGCGATGCATAATTTTTTTTGGTTAGACTGGTGACTGACAACAACAGCAGCAACAGCCCTTATAGCACCCTTCATGTGTAGGATATTGTCAGGGAGCACTGACGTGTAGACACCTACCACTCAAGAGTATCCAAACTGACTGAGAGTTTATCCATACGTATGCCATCTACTATCAGTCAAAATAGAATGAGGATGCTCTCCCTGGAGAGATCACCCTGCTTATCTAATTACTACTTCGGGGGAGGTAAGTGGTGTCTCATTGACGCTGAACTGGATCTGATTTGACATGCTTACCAATGGAATGTCACAATCAAGTCAAACCTCTGTGATCGTCTTGGTAGTCCAGTTCCTGAGCGTAGAGGATTCTTCAAATGGCTATTATTTTGGAAAACATCTGTAAAACAAAAATATTTACCTATTTAACACACATCATTAACTGAATTTTACACAAAATGAGGAGAGTTTTGGATGAAGACTCTTCAAAAAAAAAACCTCCATGGTTGCACACTGCCAACTCACCAAGCCAGTCAGGAACCTAGGTGTCTTCTTCGACCCTCAACTGTCTTTTCTCCCCCACATTCAAGCCATTACCCGCTCTGCAATCCCTCACCTCCGTAACATTGCCCGACTCCGCCACTTCCTCACCCCTCAGGCCGCTGAAACTCATGTTTCATCACCTCCAGGCTCGACTATGCACATGCCTTGCTTGTCGGCCTTCCCAACTCCTCCCTCCACAAACTGCAGATAATCCAGAACTCTGCAGCCCGTGTCCTCTCCCGCACCAAACTCCGTGATCCCATCTCCCCCACTTTCGCCCGACTCCACTGGCTCCCTATCCTTCAGAAGATCCAGTTCAAGATCCTGGTCCTCACATACAAAGCCCTCCATGGCATCACCCCATCCTACCTCTGCGACCTCCTAATCCTCTACCAACCCGCCTGTTCCCTCCGCTCAGCAGGCTCTGGCTTGCTCCACGTCCCCCAGCCCACCCACCCACCATTGGTGGGAGAGCCTTCTGCCATTCTACCCCAACCTCTGGAATTCCATCCCCCAGTCGCTCCACCTCACCCCGTCCTTAGGCTCCTTCAAGTCCCTCCTCCTCAAGACCCTCCTCTTCGACCATGCCATCGGCCACCCCCATTGCCCTCCCCTCCCTTACCCCCCCAACTCGGGTCTGAAATGCTGTACTCTGTCCAGCACCTTGGATTTTCCTCCCGATGTGAAAGGCGCTATACAATTGTAATCTTGTTGTTGTTGAAGACGATCGTCTGTTCATTTTCACCCACAAAATATACAGTCAATTCACTTCACAGTATATTATGTGAAGCGCTTTGAGACCTTACAACAACGTAATAAGACCTATATCAAATTCAAGGATTATTATTTTTTGATATCAGCAGCAACATCTATCTAGAATACTACCCTATTATATGAACCAGCTGTTTCTGAAATGAATCATTGACAACCCTCTGTGTGAAGAAATACTTTTTTAACAATAATAAGTTCCCCCTTTTGCTCACTTACCAATCCCGAGACCAGTGCTCTGAGATGCTATCCTGCATACTAATACGTTTTTCTATTTTTACTTTTGATATACAGTAGTGACTTTTAAGTCAGCAAGTCCTCTCAAAGCACTTCACAGGATTTACTGTTCATTATATTTTATAGGTGAACAATACTGGGAGTAATATAGGGACTTTGAACTTACTGTTTTAGACCAGTGGTGGCCAACTTTTTTGTCGGCCAACAAAATAAAGTTTCTTGTTCGAATATTTCTTGATTCGTGCTATAAATCAAGAAATATTCATCCAAGAAAAATCTGGAAGACTCTTGGCCACTGCTGGTCGAAGCTAACAGGGCTGTTCTGGATGTCATGCATTACTGTAGGTGTGGTTCTTCAGATGAGATGTTTAAATCAAGATCTGGTCTGCCAATTCAGGTGGACATTAAGTAAAATTGTTTGAAAAGAGAAGGGCTTTTTCCCAGCTGTTCTCCACTTTCTCTGGATGCCTGCTTTTCATGCTCTTACAAGGTGACCTCAGTGTCTTGTGCTGTCAGTACATTCTGCAATGTACCCTACCCAAAATACAGATGCTAGTCTCAGACAGACCCATTTTTGGTGTTGCCTCCCCAGTGTGAGTACAACCAGTGTAACAAGGACCATTTCAGTGGTGCGGCTTGAACAGTTTTGTATCCAGAATTTAGAATTACTAGTTTTCCTGTGGCTTTCACTCTAATGCCCTCATCACGCTTTTAATATCTGCGTCCGTAAATCCAATGTTTTGGAGTTGTTGTACATTTGAGGTTGGGGAGATACAGCTATCTGAGTGAGTACAAGGGGTGATTTGTTTATTCTTAATTTGATAAATGATTGCATTGTATACATGCGTTTTAGAAGCTGGAAGGAAATTATTCTTTGTTGTTGAGAGTGGCATCTGATTTATATGGAATTTGATGTTTGTTTTCTACGACAAATAAAACCTAAAACAGTCCCTAATTTGGTGGTGATTGGCACTAATTTAATTTTCTCAGCGATAATGAAGGCTGGTAAAGTAAAGGGCGATTCTGTAAGGTTGATGTCTAGGCAAATTGCTGAATAACTGCAATGAAATCCTGTATAATTCATTTGATCGGCATTATTACTGACCTGGAGGATTATCAACATGTTAATTACTGTGTGAAATATTTCATTCTCTTTCAGTGGTATATAATTTCAAGATTTTTGCTGGTAAAGGTGGTGGTGGAGGGGGGTATAGAAAGTTATTAAAATGGAATTGCTATTGAAAAATATCAGAATGGGATTGGCTATTTGAAGAGGCTGTGGAGAAAGTTCAGGGATTTAGAAATTTGGGTATATAGCTCCTTCATGGCAGCATTTGCTCAGTAGGCAGAATATCTTCTTTCCATGTTGTAATTTCTAAGATTTTAACCTTGACATTACTCTGAAAACGTCCTCCACATTAAAAGAAAATCAGCTATTTTAGGGCTATGCCCTAAACAAAGGTACTAGCACCAAACATAGAATCCTGCTCCTCTGCTCTATGTTACATAACATTGATTATGAAACATGCTACCAGAAGGAGATGTTGAGGCAAATAGCATAGATGTATTTAAGGGCAAGCTGGAGAAGTACATGAGGGAGAAAAGAATAGAAGGTTATCATAGAATCGTACAGCGCAAAAAGGCCATTCGGCCGATCGAGTCTGTGCGACTTTTTGAAAAGAGCAATGATTACAGTCCCACTCCTCGGCCCTTTCCCCATAACCCGCAAACACGTCCTCCTCAAATACCCGTCTACTGCGTTTTTAAAAGTAGTTATCGAATTGGCCTCCACCGCCCTTTCAGGCAATGCGTTCGAACAACTCGCTATTTGAAAAAATGTCTTCTCACCTCCCCTCGGCTTCTTTTAGATACTATTTTGAATCTGTGACCTCGAGTCACCGACACACCCACCAGTGGGAACAGTTTGTCCCTTTCTACCCTATCAAATCCCCTCATGATTTTGAAGACCTCTATTAGGTCTCCTCGTAACCTTAAAGTACGTTATGCTTGAAGGCTTAGTTGAGGAAGGGTAGGAGGAGGCTCATGTGGAGCATAAACCAGTTGGGCCGGATAGTCTGTTTTTGTGCTGTATATTCTAATGTATAACATTAGTTGAGATGTCAGTGTGTGTGGATAATCTTTTGGGTGAGCAGTGAAGTAGGATTTGGTAGAACAATAATGATATGAATATTATTTCCTCCTGTAATAATGTTTCATTTACTTTCTTGCGACAGTGGCTGATAATTGTATTTCTCTTTGTAGCATCTGTAGAATCTGCAGTTATTTGGATTACGCCATGTCAGGAACGGGGTCTGTCCTCCAGCAGTTCATCAGCGGGCTGAAGAGCCGCAGCGAGGAAGTCCGGGCGAAATCAGCCAAGGACTTGCAGCACTATGTCACCACTGAGCTGCGCGAGGTACTGGCTAAATTCAAAACCATTTCAAAGATCTAGCACCAGATTGAGTGTTCATTTGAATCTTTTTTCCCCCGCAGTTCTTATATAAAAAATACCGGCATCCAAATTAAGATGGAATTGAAGATTCTTCCAAAATTTTGTGCAATTTTAAATTGGATGGCTTTGGTCTTCAGACGAAGAGTGTTGAGGAATTTTGTGCCTCTGTTTTTGTTGAGAAGAAATGGATTGGAATGATTTTCAATTGAATTGACACACGGTGAATGGGATTTGTGAGATCTAATGTAGCTTTTCCTTCAGGTCAGTCAAGAGGAGGCCACCTCTTTCTACGATGAATTGAACCACCATATATTCGAACTTGTGTCTAGTTCCGATGTGAATGAAAGGAAAGGAGGAATTCTGGCAATTGGTAAGTGTGATGAGACGAGGCATGACCGTTTATGCCACTATCCCTCAAATCCTTTACGTTGCCTACCTTTTAAAACATCCCAATTGATTCTGAATCATCAGCCCTCTGTTATTACCCTTTATGACGGAAAAAAAAGTTATCTGATCTAATTTCTAAACCTCTTAGCTCTAGCTTCAGCTGTATCAGTGCTTCGGGTTATTAAATATGTGAACCTGTTTTTATCCTCAACGCAGTGAGTCTCATTGGAGTTGAAGGAGGAAATGCCACTCGAATTACACGGTTTGCCAATTACTTACGGAACCTGCTTCCGTCCAGTGACCCAGTTGTTATGGAAATGGCTTCCAAAGCCATGGGCCGTCTTTCCATGGCTGGTGACACCTTCACTGCTGAATATGTTGAGTTTGAAGTAAAACGTGCTCTGGAATGGCTGGGAGCAGATAGGAATGAGGGGAGACGGCATGCTGCGGTGAGTGATTTTGTGGTTGTTTTATTCGGGTTACAGGAGGCGGGGTTCTTCTTATCATCCTATATCAGAGCGTATTTGACAGATAAATAAACCTAAGATGTCAGCATTTTTTGTTCTACCTTTTGGAGCCATTTTAAGCGCTCCAAGACACTGCCCCGCATGAAGGGCGCGATACAAATGAAAATCATTGTTGTACCCTTACTGTACATTTTGTAAGTTAATTTTGTCCCAATTTCTGTAACATTTTGTTCTGAATGTTGCGCTTTACCTTAGCCTCTGAGATCTGTTGCATTTTTCTTTTCTCTTTAGCTGCTATTTCTTTGTATGAAGCTCTCTATCCTGTGCGAGGGGCGCTATATAAATGCAAGTTGTTGTTGTATGGTTTGAAACCTGAAATATAAATCCAGAAAACAATCACAAGTCCCTGAGGATAGGCAGAGTTGATTTTCCCAATTTCATCATTGATTTTTAATTCACTTTACAGTCAATTCACTTTACATTATATTCTGTTAAGAGCTTTGAGGCATCTCAAAGACATGATAAGGCTCTGTATCAAATGCAAGGATTATTATTATTCTCTTTTTACAGTGGTGCTTATTAGAATAACCTAGCAAGAATAGAGGGGAACCAAGAAGAAAATGTTAGCGAGCAACTTGGGGTATTAATATTTGTAAAGAAATGGTTTTAGGTAAATTATCAGGTCTTAAAACTGATAAATCTCCTGGACCTGATGGCCTACATCCTCGGGTTTTAAAAGAGGTGGCTACTGAGATAGTGGATGGCTTGTCTTTGATCTTCCAAAATTCTCTGGATTCTGGAACGGTTCCCATTGATTGGAAGATTGCAAACGTAACACCACTATTTAAGAAGGGTGGGAGAGAAAAGATGGGGATCTGTAGACCAGTTAGTCTGACTTCAGTGGTAGGGAAAATTCTTGAGTCCTTAATTAAAGATGTCGTTATGGGTTTCCTGGAAGACCATAACAAGATTAGACGGAGTCAACATGGCTTTACAAAAGGGAAGTCATGCTTAACTAATCTTTTAGAGTTTTTTGAAGATGTATCTGCAGGTTAGAGAGGGGGGAACCAGTAGATGTAGTATATTTAGATTTTAAAAAGGCATTTGACAAAGTGCCACACAAAAGGCTATTGCACAAGGTTAAGGCCCACGGGATTAATGGGAACATATTAGCATGGATTGAAGAGTGGCTAACGGGTAGAAAACAGAGAGTAGGGATAAACGGGTCATTCTCGAATTGGCAGGAGGTGACTAGTGGAGTGCCACAAGGATCAGTGCTGGGCCTCAGCTATTTACAATTTACATCAATGATCCAGACGAGGACATTGAATGTAACATATCTAAATTCGCGGATGACACTAAACTCGTTGGGAGAGTGAGCTCTGAGGATGATGCAAAAAGATTGCAACAGGATATAGATAGGCTTGGGGGGTGGGCGAGTAGGTGGCAGATGGAATTTAATGTGGGGAAGTGTGAAGTTATTCACCTCGGTGGCAAAAATAGAAAACAGATTATTTTCTAGAGGGGGAGAGATTAGATAGTGTTAGTGTTCAGAGGGATTTGGGTGTCCTTGTACACCAGTCTCAAAAAGTTAGTTTGCAGTGCAGCAGCAACTAAGAAGGCGAACGGCAGTTAGCGTTCATTGCAAAAGGTTTAGAGTACAAGAGTAGGGAAGTCTCGCTGCAACTGTATAGGGCCTTGGTGAGACCGCACCGAGAGTATTGTGTGCAGTTTTGGTTTCCTTATTTATAAAAGGACATACTTGCCCTCGAGGGGGTGCAGCGTAGATTCACTCGGTTAGTTCCTGGGATGAGGGGACTGACCTATGAGGAGAGGCTGAATAAACTGGGGCTGTATTCTCTATAGAGTACAGAAGAATTAGGGGAGATCTTAGTGAAACATAAGATTCTTAAAGGGCTGATAAAGTAGACACAGAGGGACTGTTTCCCCGGTGGGAGAATCTATAACCAGGGGTCACAGTCTGAAAATTAAGGGTCAGCCTTTTAGAACAGAGTTGAGGAAACATTTCTGCACTCAGAGAGTAGTGAATTTATGGAATTCACTCCCCCAGAAGGCTGTAGACGCTCAATTCTTGAACATCTTCAAGGCTGAGACTGATAGATTTTTAAAAAAATAGAGGGATTAGGGGATATGGGGATAGGGCAGGTAATTTGAGTTAGGTCTGAAGATCAGCCATGGTCTTATCAAATGGCGGGGCACAGGCTTCAGGGGCCGACTGGCCGACTCCTGCTCCTAATTCTTCTTTAGTCCTGTAGCTCAGTGGTTAGAACACTCGCTTTCTAAGCGAGAGACCTGAGTTCAATTCCCGGCAGGGCGAAACCTTGGGCAAGTTTCCTTACTCCACACAGAGCCTAATAGTAATCCCTCCAAAAAAACAAAAATAAATTGGTCATTTTCAACCTACGACTGTTTGTGGGACATTGCTGTGCGCAATTCGCTGCCGCGTTCGCCCACAAATATACAGTCAATTCACTTTACAGTGCGTTCTGTGAAGCGCTTTGGGACGTCCTCCCGATGTGAAAAGCGCTATATCAAATGCAAGGATTATTATTATTATTTATTATGTTCTTATGTTCTTAATAACTGTATTAGGCTAAACTACTGAGCAATTCCTTATGGTCCTCGTGGCCCTGATAAATTTGTATGAAATATTATAAAACATTTGTTGGTGTTTCATTTATTACTTAACGCTAATGGTGTTTTTTATTACCCCAGGTTTTGGTGTTGCGTGAGTTGGCAGTTAGTGCACCCACATTCTTCTTTCAGCAAGTGCAACCTTTTTTCGATAACATCTTCTTTGCAGTCTGGGACTCCAAGCAGGCCATCAGGGAAGGTGCTGTGTCTGCCTTACGAGCCTGCCTGATTCTCACAACTCAACGGGAGACCAAAGAAATGCAAAAGCCCCAATGGTACAGGGTAAGTGTATAGATTGGACTATAAAGAGCTGTCGTCAATAGCAGGCCCAATGCATACCATAATGTTCAGATTGGAAAATTTGGGTAAAAAAAATGTTTGCCATTCCATTTGTGGTCTCAACCACTTTGCCTGCACGCCTGAAATAAATCTCCTTAGCACCACAAGTTCTGAGGTTGATCAGGATGGAGCTGAAAATCTTTCTAAATTAGTTGGGTAATGGTTAAGAGGTTTTTTTAGGATATTAAGGAATAACAGACTGAAGGATGTTTTGTTGTGAGGCAGTAATTCTAAACTTTTATCCAAATCCAGAGGTTTTGGTTGCAGGTTTGTAGATGGAGACCTTCCTATATTGCTTATACATTCATGCAACTCATCTTCCATCTTGTGATCGAGTTACTTAGGCTCCTAGCTGCCTTGTGATTCAGGTATACACACTCCTACCCTCTCCCTCGCCATCATTCCAAAGAAATGTTTTCTCCCAGTTATCTTGGCTAATATTTCTTCATCCCCGAAAAATTCCAAATGATTGGCTTCTGATCTGATTGGTTGTATGGCGGTGCTTTTGCATTTGGTTAGAAACATAGAAACAAGAGTAGGGCATTCAGCCCCTCAAGCCTGTTCCACCATTTTATAATAGCTGACTGTACCTCAAGTCCAATTACAACAACTTGCATTTATAAAGTGACATCCACGCAGGGTAGCACCTCATAGTGCTTGAAGCGTATTTTGTTACCCACCCATGCCCTGTATACCTTAATACCCTTACCTAACAGATAGCTCTTTGGTTCATGATAACGTTCATTTAATTTCTAAATAATCTTATTTGTAATATATTTTTACATTCAAGGTACTGTATGAATGTAAATGTTGAATTGTAATTGTTTGCATTTAGATTTTGGGGAGCTGGTAAATGATTAGTTGTATTTTAAGAGATGATCGATTTATTTCTAGTTTTAATAAGTTCTTTGGCTATAAAATGAAAATCAAACTTCACCTTGCCTCAGTGAACTGTCATGTGAAAACCTTTCCATTTTTATTTGCAGCAAACCTTCGAAGAAGCTGAGAAAGGGTTCGATGAGACCTTGGCCAAAGAGAAAGGCATGAACCGAGATGATCGTATACACGGTGCTCTGCTTATTCTAAATGAACTGATTCGAATAAGCAGCATGGAGGGCGAAGTAGGTTCAGCATTGTTTATTAATTGGAAGCTTCCATACCTTTGCTCTGAATTTACGCTAATTTGCCAATTACCTGTGGAGTCCTGAAGCTCAGTGGTTAGAGCAGTCGTCCCGCAAACAAAACACCTGGGTTCTATTCCAAGCAGGGCGAAATGTTGGGCAAGTTTCCTTACTATATACGCCTCTGTTTACCTAGCAGTAAGTAGGAACCTGGTTGTTATTCAATTGACTGATCGCTTTTCCGGGGATAATAATAATCCTTCAAAAAAATAATAATATGGTCACTCAATCCACGACTGTTTGTGGGCAATTGGCTACTGCGTTTTGCCCACAAATATACCGTCAGTTCGGTTTGTGTGCATTTTGTGATCCAGTTGCCTTTTCTCGCGAGGGGAAAGGCAACTGGATCACAAAATGCACACAAACCGGAGTTCCAGAGGGTGGGGTAGAGTTATCTTCAGAGCCCTTCGCTAGAGGGCTCTGAAGATGACTCTGCCCCACCCTCTGGAACTCCATACACAGTCCTTCTGTTTCGCTCCTTCCTTCAAGACCTGTCTGAAGGCCCTTCTCTTCAACCGTGCCTTCGATCACCCTCCTCCCGCTACCCATCCCGCCGTCAAATTCTCCTGATCCCAACTACCAGCTTGGGTTCGAATCCGTGACTCTCCAGCGCCTTGGGATGTCCTCCTGATATGAAAGGCGCTATACAAATCTAATTTCTTGTATAAATGCAAGTTGCTGTTGTTGTTTCTCAAATGCACTCTGTTGTAAAACATAGCGTCTGCGAGAGGAAATGGAAGAAATCACTCAACAACAGCTGGTCCATGACAAGTACTGCAAGGAGATGATGGGATTCGGAACCAAGCCGCGGCACATCACACCCTTCACCAGCTTCCAGTCCGTGCAGCCCCAACAGTCAAACGCTCTTCTGGGACTTCTGGGCTACAGCATGCATCAAGGCATTCTGGGATTCGGAGCCACCCCAGTCCCAGCCAAGCCAACACTCGTGGAAAGCCGATACTGCCGGGAACTGATGGAAGAGAGGTTTGAGCAGGTAACAGTCAGCAGCCTTTTTAGTTTTATCTGACCATGCTTTACTGATCTGCTATCTGTCTACCCAGTTAAATTGGTCGCACTGAATTGGAAAATTCCTCTCACAGTCTAAGCTGACACACCAGTGCAGTACTGTGGAAACGCTGAATTGTCAGAAATTCTGTCCTTTGAATAATATTGAATCGCGGTCCCGTCTGCTTGTTCAGGTGTAGGTTAAAGATCTCAGAGCTATTTATAATAATAGTAATAATATTGGAAAGAGAAGGAGACTCTCCTCATATCCTCGCCAACAATCCTCCAGTTCAAATTGGTCAGTTACTTCATGGCTATTTGTGGGTCATTGCTGTGAGCAATTTAGCTGCGTTTGCGCTAAAACTGTTCACCTTCATTGCACGAAGGCAATTTCCCGTGAAACACTTTGAAAGATTTAACATAGATGCTATATCAAATGCCTTATTATGGAGGTGCCAAAAAGGTGAGGGTGAAAGAAAGTAAACCAATGTCTAATTAGTTAGCAATATGCAGTGTTTAGTGTTAATTTAGGTTTTGTTTTCCAACCTTTATTGCCACTGTAGCCCATTTTTAATTTTACCTTTCATTCGGTAGGTTATCATAATCTTTGCATTTGATATTGCCTTTCACCTCATGAGGACATCTCAAAACGTTTCACAGGATTTACTGTAGAATGCAATGACTTAAGTTTCAGCCACCCCTCAAAGTGGCCTTTATGTAAGGATGGCCTCTGAGTAACGGTTTGTTGGTGTGTGTAGAATTCTAGGTGTACAAATGCACATACGAACCCATAAATCAAACTAGTTTTAAAGAGTAATAAATCAGTTACAAAATAGAAATCGTTACTATTTCCATGAGCCAAAAATTTCCTTGGGTCTGTGGGTAGACTCCCACGAGAATCCTAGCGTATGCCACTGCTTCGCTGAGCAGGCCACTGGACGCTGAAAAGAGTGTTTGTACACCAACAGGGCTAAAGAGGTTTGCAACTAGCTGCATTCGACAGGTCGTTACTGAATAGAGATGGTTTATGATAGAAATTCGCTCAGGACTATTGAGGAATGATTGTTGATAGCAGGTGATTGCTTTAACGGGTTTGACTGTAATTTGTAGACAAGCAAGGCTGCCAATTTGTGCACATCAATGTTCCATAAAGAATCATGAAGCAAATAACTCATTTTATCTGTCTGACTGTAGGCCAGGTCACTGGGAGAAACTCTCTTTTTTTCAACAGTGCTGTGGGGAGTTTAATGTCTCAACCAAAGGATGGCATCTCTGACATTACAGTGTTCTCCTAGCACTCAAGTCCCTTTGAATGTCAGCCTAGACTGTAAGAAAGGGACAAACTTCTGACTAGGAGGTACTACAAGCTGAGCCAGACTGATACCGGCAGCCTGATACAGGAAAAAAAAATTGAGATTAGGAGCTTGTTAGTGGGGGTGGATTCACAGTAAGCTAGGAATCGGTATCATTTTGGTGATTCAATTACAGTCATTTTTATTTCTCATCAGAAAAGTAGAGAAATGGGAATAACTAGAAAAAGTAGATCACTTAGAATAATGTATTGAAGATATTGCATCAAAAATATTTTGATCTTTGTGTCAAATAAACCTTAATCTAGAAGATATAGTAATGTACATGAATGCATTTTAAATAGGTCTACATCTCTGTCTAGTTGAAGACAATTTTTTTTCTGGGGTTTGTACTATATTTCTGACAGCATAACCTGGCTGAAATCCAAGGAAACTTTAAAGGCAAATAATTTCTGCTGAAGATGCCGAGTGTTAGAGCCAACCCTAAATGCGTGTTGACTGCTAAACTACAGTCAATTGTATCAATGCCTTAGCTCTTTTGAGATGTAATGATGGCTATAACATTGTACCTTTCACATAGAGTGAAATTTAAGCTCTACACAAAGACCATTGTGACAGCAGATTAAGGACGGAAACTGGAGTTTGAGAATGTTGACTAATGGCCCTGTTAAAAAGATGAGTTTCTGAAAGAATTTTGAAGGTGCTGGGGGAAGGCACAAAGCGAAAAGATTCTAAGAGATTTAAAAAGTAACCAAGTAGGAGACTTCACACAATCCCTGTTCATTCTTCTGAAGATCTGGTATAAAATCGAGTCCAAATAATGAAGATCACATCCTCCTGTTAGACCTGCACTCTGCTGGGATTTCTCCTCAGCTTCATTTGTTATAGGTAATATTAAGATTGAATTCTAGTGCATATTTTTAAATGCTCATTGATATTCCTTGCGCAGGTCTGTCGCTGGGTGCTGAAATATCGAACAAGCAAGAATCCACTGATACAGATGACCATCCTAAACCTGCTTCCCCGCCTTGCAGCTTTCCAGCCTCATTTATTCACAGGTCAGGATTAATACAATCTTGTGCCCAAAGGACACCCACACATGTTGAGCCTATTACTGATTCTGGCCTATGTTTGATTCATTCCATCAGTAACTCAGTTAAAATCTACTTTACAAAACATTTGTGCATAGATACCAGTGACTTTACACACCTGATATTTGTATATAATTTATAATTCTGTGTCATTTCATTTTCCTGGTTCGCAACTGTTAATAATATTATCCCTTTAATCCTCAGGTAATATTTATTTGGATTTTTATTGTAATTGCTTTGCCTCCAGCTAATACCATGGGAGTTCTACCTTCTGCATAATCCACAATATGCAGGATATCTCTTTTATGAATTTTGAAATGTCAGGTAGAAATATTAACTGTGGAGGCCTGTAGTTTAGTGGTTAGAGCACTCGCCTCGCAAGTTAGAGGATCTGGGTTTGATTATTATATTATTATTACAGGCCTGTATGTGTCTTTTTTCACTTACACAGAGCAGTATCTGGTTGATACCATGAACCATCTCCTTGGTTGCCTCAAGAAGGAGAAGGAGCGCACAGCTGCCTTTCAGGCCTTGGGGCTGCTGGTGGTTGCTGTGAGAGGAGACATTCAGCCGTACCTGCAACGGATTCTGGAGATCATTAAAGGAGCCCTCCCACCAAAGGATTTTGCACACAAGTAAGTAACAAAGGGAGAAAGTGGATTTCAATGGAAACTGCTTCAGAAAATAATAGCACTGAAACAGGTTATTTGGCCTATCAGATCTGCGCTGACATTTTTTNCACCACAAAGATCAGTTTGTCTAATCCCATTTGCCTCTGCTCACTCTGCTCAACAGCAGGTCTGAGCCTCAGGACCAGTGTATCGCCCCAAAAGTACAGTCACTCCACTTTACAGTGTATCCTGTGAAGCGCTTTGAGACGTCCTAACAATGTACAATGTTAGCGTTGTAACAAATGCAAGAATTATTATTGTTTTTGTTTTTGTAAAATTTAAGATTTAACAGAAGTTTGGAAAATGCAGTCTTAATTTGGAAGCTGATTTTCTAAAATTAAGAAGGAATTTTAAGAATTTAATGGATTTCTACATGTTCTTGCACATTAAAACTATGTTAGACAAAGGTCATAAGGCTCAGATCAGGAATTTGGGGTCTCTAGTATTCTCTTAGAGTGTCCTATCCAAGTGCTGACTAGGGCTGACTCAGTTTAGGAACATTTAGGTACAATATCTTGGCCTAGCACAGGCAAATTTGTTATTCATTCCAACTGTTCTTCAAGGACATTTTAATTCTGTAATTAAAAAAATTGTAGTGTTGCTAATGGTCAACATCGCAACTGCAACAGTTTATCACTGTGGGGAAAGTTATTATTTTCGCAGCATTTTAGTTACAACTCCTAAATATGATGCACCGTCCTGGGATGTTTAATCTGCACCTGAAGAATGGCAGATGGCACCTCAGTTTGTTTCATGTGAAGGATGGTACCTCTGACAATGTAGCAGTCTCCCAGCACTTCAACAGAGTGTGAGCCTAAACTCAGAAGCAATGGTGCTGCAAATTGAGCCAAGATGACATATTATGGACAGCTTAGCAGGCCGACATATATTTTTAGGGATAATAAACCGAATGTGGAACAAATGATGCTATTGAATTTCTGTCAGGCTGGATTTAGAAGAGAGCCTGTCTTACTAAATGGACATATGCTCTGCTTGTTTTTTATTAAAAAGCCACCGAGTTTCCTTTATTCTCATTCATTTTCTAGGAGACAAAAAGCTGTTCAAGTGGATGCAACAGTCTTTACCTGTATCAGTATGCTGGCGAGGGCCATGGGGCCAGGGATTCAGCAGGACATTAAAGAGCTACTGGAACCAATGCTTGCTGTTGGACTCAGGTAATGCCATGTTGACATTGCACTTTAGAATGAAGTGAACCGGTCATTCCTTTCATGTTGTTTGTGGGACACAGCTGTGTGCAAATTGGCTGTTGCGTTTGTCTACAAGACACAAAGTACAGGACACTCGCTACGCATTACAGTAAATGTTGCGAAGCACTTTGAGGTGTCCTCCAGGCATGAAATATGAAATGTAAGGATTATTATTGTAGTGTTTCATTCAGATTGATTTTCACCATTTTTTCACTTTTTAGACTCTCAATTCACAATGAGCTTGTTGTTCTTTAGTTCATTAACTTTTTTTAAGCTTATTTTGTCAGGGATGACTTTGAGAACATAAGAAATGCTAGGCGATAAAAGCCCAAGGTCCGTCTAGTTTGCCTTCCACCTTCCTGGTGGTCGCATGCACATATGTCCCAAAGTACCTATGTACTTATTTGCTCAACTGAAATTTTGTTTGCATAGATTCATTCTGAATTTACCCCCTTCAATCGCAGGTCGTGTCCTCTGCTTTTACTATTCTGGACAACTTGAAACAGCCTGTCATGATCGCTATTGCTTTACCCCTTAAGAATCTTAAAGACAGCAATCGTGTCGCCTCTCAATCTTCTCTCTTTCAGCGGTAACATGCCCAATTGATGTGAGAAAGGAAACAGAGGGTGGGTAATGAGGTTTTACCTCCAGCTTACCCAGGGACCAACCAATGTTAATTATCCTGAGGGTAAAATGTCATTGATGTGTTAAATTGTACCATTGGTGACTATTCATACATATCACAATTTTCACCCCTATGGTACACTGTGGTCATTAAAATGGCTATGGTGCATTCTGAACTTTAAGGGTACATTATGTCTACATAACCAATTCAATGACCAAATTTTTCAACACTATCAAATGGCTGTGCTCCAAAGCAAAGTGCTCCAACGTTGTGTTAAATCATTCTCAAAGTGGCTTTGACTTAATGATTTATACCTAAAAGAGTGTGAGAGTCTAAGATTCACATCCCTAACTTAGACAATGTGCTTTGATCAAAATAAGTTAATGAGTTCACTGCATGACTGATGACTCCTCTCTGCTTGTTTTGTGCTGTTAAAGCCCTGCTCTGACAGCTGTGCTGTATGACCTGAGCCGTCAGATCCCACAGCTGAAGAAGGATATCCAGGACGGGTTGCTGAAGATGCTGTCACTGGTGCTGATGCATAAACCTCTTCGACATCCAGGCATGCCCAAAGGCCTCGCCCACCAGCTTGCCTCCCCCAGTCTGACCAACATTCCCGAAGCTGGCGATGTGGGAAGCATAACTCTTGCTCTCCGCACACTGGGGAGCTTTGAATTTGAGGGTAAGATTTAGACTTGGCTTTGAGTCTGAACATGTGGCTCCTTTGGGCTGAGGGGATGAAGCTTTGATTCTATTTTAAAATTGTGGTCGAACCTGGCCTGTTTTGTGTATACAGGTAAGAAAGTGATGCCTATTTCCAGGTCTGGTACCTCTAAAAGTGTTACCTCTAGAAGCTTGAGAAGTGTTTCCAGGTTATAGCTAAATATTTTCATATTTAAATAAAGTAGCTGTATTTGAACCCCTGCTTTATCTTTATTCATCTTCACAAGATCTCCAAAGTGATTTGGATGAAAATCCTTCAGCCCAATAGACCTCATCCTTCCAGAATACAATTTCTACCACGTTCCCATTATTATCAAGCTATATCCCAAATGAAGCTAGTGTCTTGGCACCCTGAACCTTCCTGAGTAACCCATTCCATCTATTGCCAACCTGTGGGTAAAGCAATAATACTTGACGTCTGTCATAAACTCACTTTCAAAACTATGAACCTGTTCCCATTTGTCCTGCTGTCTCAGAATATGTGGAAATTGATATCATATCTCATTTATCACCTCTATATGGTCCTCTCTGAGGTGTCACTTTTAAAGGTAGAAGAGCCCTAACTTATTGAGTTGTTACTCGACCTCATTTGTGTGACACTGAGGATCCAATTTCCTCTTTCACTCTCTGGGGATCTTGTGACTATATATTTAAGGTTTTGTTTTCAATGTGGTTAGATTCTAAGGAGGGAAAAAGAATATCTACATATGGACATATATGTAATTCCATTTATGTCCATATGTCCATAGGCAAGTGAGAGGACCCGGGTTCGACTCCTGGGCATGGCAAAACTATAGGCAAGGAATAATCCACCCACCCATCACTAAATCCACGACTCTTTGTAGGACACATCTGTACACAATTGGCTGTCCTTTTTCACCCACAAAATACACAGTCAATCCACTTTACAGTATATCCTGTGACGTCTAAACGATGTGAATAGGCGCTGTATCAAATGCAAGGATTATTATTATGTATTTGCCAAATTCATGTCCTGAGGTATTGTTACTCTCTTATTAATGCTGCAGGTCACTCGCTCACCCAGTTTGTCAGACATTGTGCTGACCATTTCCTCAATAGTGAACACAAAGAGATCCGAATGGAGGCATCCCGTACCTGCTCCCGACTCTTGACTCCATCAATCCATCTCATCAGTGGACACGGCCATGTAGTTAGCCAGACAGCTGTCCAGGTTGTGGCAGATGTGCTCAGTAAACTACTCGTCGTCGGAATTACTGATCCAGGTAGGAAAAAGCGCAGCGTAACTCATAGGAAATTTTATTTGTAGCATACCAGGCCTCTAAATTCCACTTCACAGCTGTTGGTATGCTGAATAACATAACGACTGCTCCTGTTCCTATACTATTATACCAAAACACAACAATTGTGTTTAATTCTATCAAAACACGTAAACATTTCAGTGATTAGTTTACCTAACGAGTAGCTTAAACATAAAACCAGGAAAGTATTAGGTATACGTATGGTATGTGATGTAGAGATTGCTACACTTGGAATTTAAAGCCCTGGGTTTGAGAAGCTAAAGTCAGATCGGAATCCTATTGTTAGTTCTGCCCACAAAATATACAGTCAATTCACTTTACCGTATATTCAGTGAAGCACTTTGAGATGTCCCGAAGACATGATAAAGCGCTATAGCAAATTTAAGGATTTTTACTGTAAGTTATACAGCCATCAAACCCCTCTGAAAATGCTTATTTTGACTATAAAGATCCGGGGCTGCTCCTCATTTTCCAGATCCGGATATTCGCTATTGTGTTCTGGCCTCTTTGGATGAACGGTTTGATGCCCACTTAGCCCAGGCAGAGAACCTACAGGCACTCTTTGTGGCGCTGAACGATGAGGTGTTTGAAATCCGAGAGCTGGCGATCTGCACTATTGGGAGGCTCAGTAGCATGAACCCAGCCTTCGTGATGCCGTTCCTTCGCAAAATGCTGATACAGGTAATCAAACACATGCTCACACTGCCATCTTCTTCCCAGGGCATACACATTCCAAACTACAATCTATCACGCTTAATGGGAGAGAGATATAAAGCCCAGAAGCCATGCAATCAGATATGCCATGGCAGCAGGAGAATAGGGTGCAGTTCAGTGATGGATGTGGGGTGTTGTGATTGCTCTTTATGTTCGCTGTTAAGAAAATACATGCCCTCCCGACATGAAATGTGCTGTACAATGTAATTTGTTGTTTTGTCACTTAACTCATTGCTCACCATAACAAAACAGTGTGAGACAGCGACAAACGAGGTGCACAGGATGCTGGGATATACCGTATTGCTAAACCAGTAGAGTTCAGATAGATCCCTAGTTGTTATACTCAATCTATCTAGTGTCTGGTCACACCTAGAACACTCCATACAGTAGTGCAGCAGAGAACAAGGATGATTCTCCAGGGTTAGAGGACTGAGTTATGAGCAACGATCAGACAAACTAGGCACAAACTAGGATTGGAAAAGTTAACTCAGATCAACGTTTAGGGTGTACCCAGACAATAGAGCAAGAGGGCAATTGCTAAGGACAAATTCAGGATAAGCACCAGAATGTTTTCTTTACTCAGAGGGTAATTAACAACTGGAACAGGTTGCCAGGAAGGACAGTTGAGTCCTGGAAACTGGCCTTTTTAAGAAACAAATATATTAAGATGAATAGGCTGGTGAGGGTAAATGTAGATCCACTTCAGTCAGAGACGGGAGCAGTTGTAATGGGGGATAAGGACATGGCAGAGTCCAAAATGGGTACTTTGCATCTGTCTTCACCCTAGAAGACACAACAAGTCTGCCAGCAATAGAGATGCACCAAAGGGATAAGGACAGGGAGCAACTTAGGGAAGTTTTAATTAGTAGAGAATTGGTGCTCGGGAAACTGTTAGCACTAAAAAGTGACAAATCCCTGGTCCGGATGCTTGCATCCCCGGGTTTTAAAAGAGGAGCTTATGAGATAGTGGAGGCCTTGTGTCTGATCTTCCAAAATTCCTTGGATTCTGGAACAGTCCCCATGGATTGGAAAATCGCAAATGTCACACCACTATTTAAAAAAGGTGGAAAGGAAAAGATGGGGAACTTGCTGCAACTGTATTGGGCCCTGGTGAGACCACACCTGGAATACTGTGTGCAGTTTTGCTCCTTATTTAAGGAAGGATGTACTTGTCTTGGAGGGGGTGCAGCGTAGATTTTCTCGGTTAGTACCAGGGATGAAGGGGATGAGTTACGAGGATAGGCTGACCAATTTGGGCCTATATTCTCTAGAATATAGAAGAATTAGAGGGGATCTTATAGAAACCTATCAGATCATCAAAGGCCATGACAGAGTAGATAGTGTGAGATTGTTTCCCCCGGTTGGAGAAACTAAAACCAGGGGTCACAACCTTAAAATCAGAGACCAGCCCTTTCGCACTGAGTTGAGGAAGAACTTCTTCACTCAAAGGGTAGTGAATGTATGGAACTCACTACCCCAAAGGGCTGTTGACGCTCAGTCCTTGAACATATTCAAGACTGAGATAGATAGATTTCTTATTGCAAAAGGGATTAAGGGATATGGGGATAAGGCAGGTCAGGTTATTAGCTGGAGTTAGATTAGAAGATCAGCCATGATTGAATGGTGGGGCAGCTCGAAGGGCCAAATGGCCTACTCCTGCTCCTACATGTTATGTTATGTTAGTGCCATATTTGCAAACGGGATTTATTGCTTTAATTTCAGTCGTTCGGTTAATTATAAATACTAGTTTGCAAACTCTGCTGTTTTGCTTTTGGGCATTTTTTTCAGTCTTGAGAAAAGACTAATAATAATAAGATGAAAAATAAATAAGCAGAACGCCAGCTGGAATTGGCAAACAGCTTATCCCATAATTATGAATCAAACCTAGTAACTAAAATTAACTCAACGCACCCTAACCCTAAGTATCAGAAGGCTGAGAGCTGAGGCTGGTTTCTCTGCCAGCAGGTGGCATGTGTGCACACTTTGTGTGTTACATTTTGAAGTTATAATAATAATAATGTTATTGAAAGTTGTTGAAAAAGTGAGTATACAACTCACATTTCCTAATCAAAATTGCTTTTCAATCTATAGAGAAATTCACTCTTTGATTTTTTTAAAACCATTTCACATAGTTTTTCTGCTCCACCATCGGCAGCCGTGCCTTCAACTACTACGCCACAAAACTCTGAAACTCTCCCCCTCAATCTCTCCGCCTTGCTCCCTCCCACCCCACCTTCAAATCCCACCTAAAGACTTTTTATTTTTGATGGTGCTTACGATCACCTCCCCCTCCCTCTCCCCCTACTCAGTGTCAGACTCCGCCACTGTCAAGCGCTCCGGGACACTACACCAAGTGAGGGGTGCTATATAAATGCAAGTGGTTATAGTTTTTCAAACTTTGCAGTCTCCACTTAATGGCAACAAGCATTGATTTCGAGAAAAATTGGTAATTCATTTCATTGCTGTTTGTGGGGCTTCGCTGTGTGTAAATTGGCTGTTTTGATCACCTACAAATACAGTCACTACAATAAATACTGTGAAGTCCTCCCAATGTGAAAGGCGCTATATCATGTGCAAGGTTTATTGTTACATTATTAAGTATCTTACCAAAACAAAATATGCAAAGTTTGGTGTGTGGATGTGCCAGATAGTATATCATGGAACCATCTAGCAGTAGAAATAGCCTGCTCCAGTGCACTTGATTGTAATGATTCACTTGTTTATTTTGGGGAGAGGAATAGATAAGGTACAACAATGAAATCAACAACAACAACTTACATTTACACAGTGCCTATCACACATAGTTGTGTCCCAGAGCGCTTGACAATGGCGGAGCACGTTGCTGGGAGGGAGGTGACCGTAGTACAGTCGAAGAGGCAAGTCTTCAGGCATTACATGAAGATGGGGAAGAAAGGGGTGTTTCGGGGTGCTTATATAGCGCCTTTGACGCTGGAAGGAGGTCCCAAGGGGCTGAATCATATGAAATATGTCAGAAATGCAGGCTGAGTGTTAACTGTGTTTGTGTCATGAATATAGATTTTAACCGAACTGGAGCACAGTGGGGTAGGGAGAAACAAAGAGCAGAGTGCCCGAATGTTGGGTCACCTGGTTTCAAATGCACCGCGCCTTATCCGACCGTACATGGAGCCTATTCTCAAGGTCAGTAAATATCCATGGCGATCATGTTCTGTGTAGTTTGTTCAATTTGAAGTGTTTATTTATACAGATATATATTTGGGCATTTTGTCTTAGGAGAAAATGGCAACAGGAGGAAGCAAATCAGCCCATTGAACCCATTTGGCCAATTAGATCACGACAGGACTTTTGATCACATTTCCCTTTTTTGCCTTAATAATATCTCTTTAATATTACTTCCTATCTATCCATTCTCCCCTTTTAATCATCAAAATTCATTCTGTGTCTATGGAATTCAGGGTCTGTATATTCTACATCCATGTCTTTGTGATCAAAATGTGCTGATCATGTGGGGACAAATGTTGTAAATAAAACAGTAATTAGCATTAATGTATTTTAGAGAAAGTGCCATCCATATAGGAATGGGAAGGCATTAGAGGGGAATAAGGTGGGGTGGAGGCTTGTGTGGAGCCCCAACACACACATGGACTACTTTATATTATTCCTTTGTAACTCTATAAACCTAACTTTTCTGATTTGATAAATACTATTGAATTCCTAGTGTGAGGAAATTATGGTAATTCCTGCACTGCAAACAAAACAAAAATATTCTTGATAGTTTAAGGTAAAATATTGTTCATTGACTTTCTTTAAAAGGAGAGAGCAGATATATTTGGGCATTATTGTAACATGGTATTGACTGTTTTAACTTGCCATGTTTTTCACTAGGCCTTAATCGTAAAACTGAAGGATCCTGACCCTAACCCTGGTGTAATCATCAGTGTCCTGGCTACAATTGGGGAACTTGCCCAGGTGAGGTCAACATTGGTGCGAGTGGCAATTAGATCAAAGTCATCCGAAAAATGTTTTCTTCCCCCAGTGCTAATGCTGTGTGATACATTGGGTATTTGGCAAATGTGCGTGTTTTCACTGAGTTAAACCATGGAGTGGTTTCAGCCTCTCCCAGCATGGCATTGACAACTCACTGAAGCTCAGCGCTGGACTATTTGGCAGCTTCAATTTGTGGTTCATTCATACACCATATGAAAAAGTTTGTTTGAGTAAGCGCTCCCGCAATTCCATCTGCAGATTACCCACATACAGTTACCAGCTCCCACGGGTATCTGGAATGCGAACCTAGCTGGACCAGGCTCAAAATAAAAACATTTATTGAAATTCCGCAGGCTGTGTGTCGACTCCCAAATCTCCGAGTGTATCAGCGCCTTGTATCACCATCCTTGCTGGCTTTCCCAGTGGTCAGGGAGATCGACTTTGACTGAGGTTGTTTTAATCCAGCGAACAGAAAATAGTTTATTCGCGGGATTCAAACAATTGCAAAACCAGTCCTGGTAATTACATTCAGCCGGAAATTCTAGCTCGCTGGACTGGATCTCTTTCCCGCCCCTTTCTTCTCGGAATATTTCACCCAAAAAATACACAGTAAATTCACTTTATAGAATTTCTGTGAAGCGCTTTTGAGTTGCATCGAAGGGGTGAAAAAGCACTATATCAAATGCAAGGATTATTATTATTATAGCGCTAACCAAAAACAACTTCCTTCAGAAATTAATGCAGTCACTATAGTAATTTTCTGCCATTCTCTCTGATTTTCTGTCCAATTTATTTCTCAGATTTTCTTTTCTCTTCTCACGTCTCTCTCTTTTATGTACAAGGGGTTCCTGGTAACCCCTTATGCATGCGCATAACTGCAGCCCTAAGCTTACTTCTGCTTTGAAGCCCGATGCTGATAAGTGGGCAGTCTTGTAGCTGATAACTGGTGCACTTTGGGTGTATGTGTGATGTGTAATCCACCATCTTTTAAGTTTTCAATTTTATTTAATCCGTCTGATAAAAGATATACATTATGTAATTAGACTCATGTATTGGAGGGATTATTTTCACCTATTTGCTGATTCGTGCTCTACGTATGCTTCTAGGGTCTACGTATGGTGATAATTAGATAATTTATTGTATAGTGGTTAACTTAAAGGGTTTCCCCTCCCTGCCCCCTCTCCCCTTCACAAAAAAGCTCATCAATATTTGTTGTTGGATAGGTGAGTGGGCTGGAGATGAGGAAGTGGATGGATGAGCTTTTTCCCATCATAATGGACATGCTACAGGACTCTTCATCACTTGCCAAAAGACAGGTAGGTTTCTTTGCCGAGTTTGCTGTATTTTCTTCTCTTTATGGTAATAATCCATAAGTCAATTCACTTTACAGTATATTCTGTGAAGCGGTTTGAAGATGTGATAAGGCGCTGTATCAAATGCAATAACAACAAAATGATATCTGTATAGTGCCTTTCACGTTGAGAGGACGGCCCAAGGCTCTGGACAATCAGTGTTTCGAACCCGAGCTGGGGGTAGAGGAAGGTGGAGGGAAAATACACGGATTATTATTATAATCCAACTCTACTCTTATGAGCAGAACTTTCATTTTCATGAAAGATTTCATGGTAAAAATTCTGTGCAGTGTTAAATTCAGTGTCTTTGAAAATCCGTTTATTAAGAAATCCTATTCATGGCTGGAAATGCAAATGCTTAACAGAATTTTTAACCTATACATTAATTTACATGAAGCTAAATCTTTTCATCTACAAAGTGAATTTAACGACAATAGTAAATTGCACATTAGCCAATTGATATCTTTTCATTTTGAATCCACTAGATTCAGAGCAAATCCCTAACTATCAAAATATTTACCACTTTAGAAAGTGCCACTGATGAGCACAAATTGGCTGCCGCATTCTCCTATAAAATACATTTTGCAGTAGGTGAAGCGCTTTGAAACATCCTCCCAGGCGCTGTATCAAATGTAAGATTTTTTTCATTTGGTGGAGGAGTCTTTTTAGATTCCATTTGTCTTTTGATTCAGATTATGGTCTCTGAATTCCATAGTTATGGAGCCCTGTAGCTTAGCGGTTAGGGCCCTCACCTCGCAAGCAAGATGACCTGGGTTTGATTCGTGGCAGGACAAAACCATCTGAAAATAGTTCACAAACAAGCAAAGTGCAGCAGACATTTTTGCACACAACAAGACCCCACCACATATGTCGTGGAATGAATGACCAATTGGGAGAAACTCCCTTGTGTTTTCTAAAGGTGTCATAGAATCTTTAACGTCCAGATGGGCCCTGAGTTTATTGTCTTATCCAAAACATTGCACGTCTGATAATGCATTATTCCCGCAATACCGCACCATATTCTCAGCCTAGACTTTGAGCTCAAGTCCAGTCTCAACATGCGGCTTGAATCCAAAATCTTCTGACCCAGAAGCAAGAGTGCTGTAAACTGAGCCAAGCTATCACCTAATATATAGCGACATATGGTAAATGGATTTAAGAAAACACTAGAGAATATAAGCGGTGAATACTTCGAGCTTTCTGTGTAAAATACCAGATGATTGGAAAATCTAATTAAAGCATAATCTAATGCTAATGGATCTGTTTCCCTATTGACTTGGATTGAGGGGAAGGGAAAGAGAGAGACTGGGCCCCGAATGGTAGGTTTGGGCAGATAGAGGGCAGGAGGTATCTCACATCAAACCTAAGCAATTAGGTAACTGAGAGTTACCAACCGTTTTAGTATAGCTTTTAGTTATAAGGTTTGTTGAAATGATTTCAGAAACTAATGATCCAGAAGACCAGATTTGTTTTAACAAAAAGAATAAGGGATCCTTTCAGGGTTTGTTAAATATGCTGCACAAATTGTTGTTTACAGCATTTTCCTGGGCCGGTTAGATGTTCAGTATGAAGTCACTATAGTTTTATATTTTTGTATATAGGAAAGGCTTGGGTATTTTAATATTTCACATAAATGTCCTTTTATTATGTAGGGCTGTTCATTTTTAGCATTAACGTTGTAGAATTATGGAACCGTTGGGATATGATCGCTTCACAACCATGTGGACCATTTCGGCATTATTTTTTATCCTGCTGCTAAGGCATTTCATAACCTGTTTTCCCACACTTGATGTGCTGCTATTTGAGTATCTGCTGGTTACTATGTCTGATATTAACTGGCACATAGAAGCTTGTCATTCTTAAACACTGCGTGTTGGCCTCGATGTATATTGGCATTAAAATCAAGTCTTAATAGTGCACCTAAATATAAGTAACAGGAGACTTGCAATAGAGTTATTAATAAAATTTGTTTTGTTATGAAAGACCCACTTGTTCTACCAGACTGTTTTCCGTAATTCAGTAAGGTCACAATAAATTTGTGACTTAAAGAGTATCCCTTTCCCATTTTGAAAGTGTAATTTCATGCTTGCATCTGTATTTCTTCCACAAGTTTAGCTCAACTAAAGAGGTGTTTATACTTGTGGAAATCATGCAATATCACTTACAACAGGGTAGCTGCTCAGGCAGGAAGCCCAGTGTTATATTCCTGCTCCTAAATGAATTACCCGAGTCTGAAGAAAGTCTATTCATGTACTGTGTGTGCGCATTGTGTGTGCGTTCAGAACTTTGACAGTTTCATTATAATAGTTAATTCTTAATGGGATTTGAGACTCACAAAAGAAGATTCAACTTCTGATGACCAGAGGTACATTAACCTGCAGAAACTCCAATTTGATGACACAAACTGTACTTCCAAGAATGGGTCAATGGGAATTCCATCACTATTTCTTATTAGGAGAATTGCATTTAATTCCTTCTCCATAATCCGATCACCAACTTTGAAGATGGGTATATTGACATGTGCTATGTGTAAACACACAAGTCTATTGTCACCATATGCAATCTGTACAGAGGCTCTGGAACTCCCTTCCTCACTCCCTTCGCCTCGCTCACTCTCTTCCTATTTTCAAGTCTCTGCTGAAGACCTTTCTTTTCAACCGCACCTTTGGTCACCTTCCCCCCACCCAACCCCCCCGGCTCCTCCCCCTCCCCAGCTCCTCCCCCTGACTCCTCCCTCTCCCCCAGCTCCTCCCCCTCCCCTGGCTCCTCCCCCAACTCCTCCCCCCTGGCTCCTCCCCCTCCCCCTGGCTCAGCCCCGGGATCTGTTACTGCGAAGCTCTAAGACGCCGTCTGGCGTGGAGGGCGCTATATGCATCCAAGTTGTTGTTGTTGATCGAAAACACGATCGAAGAGAAGGGTCTTGAGATGGGTCTAGAAGGAGGCAAGGGAGGGATGAGGTGGAGGGACTGTGGAATGGAGTTCCAGAGGGCGGGAGCAGAGTGGCAGAAGTCCAGCCAGTGGTAGGGTGATCGAGTCAGGGGACGTGAAGCAGGACAGAGCCGCCTGATTGGAGGGAGTGAGCATGATGGTAGGTGGTTAGAAGGTTGCAGAGGTAGGGTGGGGGGGGCAAGGCCATTGAGGATTATGAAGATGAGGACCAGGATTTTGAACTGTATCCTCTATGTGATGGAAAGCCAGTGGAGGTGGGCGAGGATGGGAGTGAAGGGGTCGCTGAGCCCGGTGCGGGACCGGACACGGGCTGCAGAGTTCTGGATTATCTGCAGCCTGTGGAGGGAGAAGTTGGGAAAGCCGTCAAGTAAGAAGTTTGCATAGTCAACGCTTGATGTTATAAATGGCTGTATGAGGGTTTCGGGGGCTTGGGGGTGTCAGATAGTGACGGAGCCGGGCGATGTTGCGGAGATGGGGAAAGGGAGAGTGGGTCATGGCACAGAAAGTGGGGTAGAAAGAATAACTGAGGATAATTGTTTGCTCATATTTTACAAATTAGAGCATAATAGACCTCATTTATCCTGATGTTTCTACTACAACAACAAATTGCATTTATATTCCGTTTTTCTCATCAAGAGGACATCTCAAAAACAGAACTTGTTCGCACTCATGACCTTGTAACCTGATATAATTTTGTACCCACACTGATATTAGAAGCGAAAGGCAAAATGCAGATGTTGGAAATCTGAAATAAAAGCCAGAAATGGAAACACTCAGCAGATCAGGCAGCATTTATGGAGAGAGGAAAGTGAGCGAAAGTTTCAGGTTGATGACCTTTCGTCATAACTGGGGGATGTTAGTAGGCAGCAGTTTATGAGGACAGACAGACAGAGAAGGGGGCGGGGAAAGAAAGACAAAGGAATAAATTAGGTGAAGGACAGGAGATGATGAGATCACGGAGGTGTTGATGGTGCAGGACAAAGAACAACAACAACAAGATTCCATTTATAGAGCGCCTTTCGCGTCGGGAGGATGTCCCAAGGCACTGTACAGTTGGGTCAGGACACGAGCAAGGGGGAAATGGTCAGGGTGAGGGGAGAGAAGGGAGGGAGCGAGGAGGGGGTAGAGTCGAGAGAGGAGCTGAAGGCTGAAGGTCAAAGAGAAAGGTCTTGAGACCGGCCTTGAAGGAGGAAAGGGAGGAAGAGGCGAAGGCACTGGGGGATAGAGTTCCAGAGCCTCGGGGCTGAGAGGCTGAAGGCCCGGCCACCGATGGTAGGGTGGTTGGGGCGGGGGATGTGGAGCAGACCGGAGCCAGAGGAACGGAGGGTACGGGCAGGTAGGTAGGGGGATAGTAGGTCAGAGAGGTAGGAGGGAGGAAGGCCGTGAAAGGCCTTGTAGGCGAGGATGAGGATCTTGAAATCGATCCTCTGGGGGATGGGGAGCCAGTGGAGGCGAGCGAGGGCGAGGGGGAGGGCGAGGGTGGGAGTGATGTGGTCCCGAAGCCTGGTGCGGGACAGTGCACGAGCTGCAGAGTTCTGAATGACCTACAGAGTGGAGGGAGGGCCGGGAAGGCCGGTGAGGAGAGAGTTCCCATAGTCCGGCCTTGAGGTGATAAAGGCGTGGACCAGAGTTTCAGCCGCGTGAGGGGTGAGGTAGTGCCGTAGTCTGGCGATATTCCGGAGGTGATGGAAGGCGGTGCCGGTTGTGGTGCGGATATGAGGGAGAAAGGACAGCTCAGGGTCGAACAGAACACCGAGGTTCCTGACCGCCTTTGAGAGGTGGAGAGTGCGGCCTTGGATGCTGATGCTGTCAGCGCCTGAGGTGCGGAGGCGCTGACGTGAGCCAATCAGGAGGGCCTCAGTTTTACGCATGTTGAGCTGAAGAAAGTTATCTCTCGTCCAGGACTCGATGTCGGACAGACAGATGTCAGGACATCGGGGGTTGTTGAGTTGAGGGTAGAGGAGGAAAGGTAGAGTTGGGTGTCATCCGCATACATGTGGAAGTTAACCCCATGTCTGCGGATGATGTCACCACAGGGGGAGCATATAGAGGGTGAAGAGGAGGGGACCGAGGACAGAGCCCTGAGGGACACCGCACGAGACAGTGCGGGGGTGGAGGAAAAGCCATTCGTGGAAACAAAGTGAAGACGGTGGGAGAGGTACGACCTAAACCACTCAAGGACAGGGCCTTGAAGGTTGAGGTGGGAGGACAAACGGTGGAGGAGGATAGCGTGGTCGACCGTATCGAATGCTGCCGATAGGTCGAGGAGGACGAGGAGACAGAAGGAGCCCTGGTCACAGATGGTCAGGATGTCATTGGTGACCTTGACCAGGAAGGGGAGGTTGGAGATGGGCCGTAGCTTGATAGCTGCGACGCATCAAGGGAGGGTTTTTTCAAGGTGGGAGTGATGGTGGCAGTTTTTAAGGGATTGGGAACAGAGCCACAGGAGAGGGACAGGTTGACGATGTCTGTGATATGTGGGGCAGGAGGTGGAGCTGAGAGATAAGGAGTGAGTGGGGATGGGGTCAAGGGAGCAGGTGGTGGGTTTCAGGGATAGGATGAGTTCAGTGACAGAGGGTGGGGAAACGGGTACGAAAGTGCGTTGGGGAGGATGGGTAGGAGTCGGAGTGTGGGAGGGAAGGGGTGGGGGGTGGATGTTGGAGGGGAAGTGACCGCCGAGCGGATTCCCTTGATTTTGGATTCAAGTAAATCCAGCATCTCCTCGCAGTGAAGGTTGGAGGAGATGACCTGCGCGGGGTGGCGGGGGGGACGGAGAAGTCGGGATGTGGTAGAAAACAGAAGCCTGGGGTTGTTCTTCGCTTTAAGATTATCTTGGAGTAGAAGGACGACTTGGCCGAGGCGAGAGTGGAGCGGTAGATTTTGAGGAGGTCCAGCCACAACAAGATTCCATTTATAGAGCGCCTTTCACGTCGGGAGGACGTCCCAAGGCGCTGAAATGGAAACAATAATGGGATATTATATAAAGAACAGATGCGTCTGAGACCCAGAGATTATGTTGTTTTTATATTACTTAAATTGCATTTAATTTTTTTTTAAAAATCCAATTTTAAATTTTGATGCCGTCTTTATTTGCTGTGGCTCAAATCTCCAACAAACTGAAAAACATTGTAATTCACAAAGTGACATCGGCGTGACGTCACTTTTAAAAAAAAACAACAACAACAACGGCCTGGCAGCCCCAGCCACTGCCATCCCGGCCATAATAATAATAATAATATAATAATCCTTGCATTTGATATAGCGCTTTTCACGTCTTCTAGACGTCTCAAAGTGCTTCACAGAATATGCTGTAAAGTGAATTGACCGTATATTTGTGGGCGAAACGCGGCAGCCAATTGAGCACAGCAGCGTCCCACAAACAGTCGTGGATTGAAAATAACCAATTATTGTTTTGTTTTGGACGGATTATTATTAGGCTCTGTGTGGAGTAAGGAAACTTGCCCAAGGTTTCGCCCTCTGTCGGGAATTGAACCCAGGTGTCTCACTTGCAAAGCGAGTGCTCTAACCACTGAGCTACAGGACTCCATAGCCCACCTGCAGGCTGATGCTGATTGCTCGATCCCGGTCTCTGTGTGTGAGCTTTGGCTGATGCCCCGACCCATGCCTTCCCCTCCACTCTAAATGTCTCTCCTCCCGTTCCTCTCTATGTCTCTCGTCCCACCCCCTCTATGCACTACTCCCCCTCTGTCCTTCTCTCCAACCACCCTCCCCGCCTTCTCTCTCCTCGACCCCATCACCACTTCCCGGAGCAGACCGGAGCCAGAGGAACGGAGGGTACGGGCAGGTAGGGGGATAGTAGGTCAGAGAGGTAGGAGGGAGAAAGGCCGTGAAAGACCTTGTAGGTGAGGATGAGGATCTTGAAATCGATCCTCTGGGGGATGGGGAGCCAGTGGAGGCGAGTGAGGGCGAGGGGGAGGGGGAGGGCGAGGGTGAGGGCGAGGGTGGGAGTGATGTGGTCGCGGTGTCTGGTGCGGGACAGTACACGAGCTGCAGAGTTCTGAATGACCTGCAGTGTGGAGGGAGGGCCGGGAAGGCCGGTGAGGAGAGAGTTCCCATAGTCCGGCCTTGAGGTGATGGGGTCCAACCTCCTCTTAAAACTCTCTGTACCCGTACGCAACCTAGGCGTCAGGTTCGACCCCCCCCCCCGTTCGTTGTTCGTCTCCGCCAATACCTCTCCCCAAAAGCCGCTGGAACTCTAGTCCATGACTTTGTCACCTCTCGGCTGGACTACTCTAACGCCCTCGCCGGTCTCCCATCCACAACCATCCACAAAATCCAGATTATTCAAAATTCTGCAGCCCGCATTCTCACCCGCACCAAACTCCCCTCCCCGATCCCCCCAGTCCCTGCCAGACTGCACTGGTTGCCTGTCCCAGAGAGAATCGACTTCAAGATCCTTACCCTTGTCTTCAAATCCCTCCACTCCTCTGCACCCCCGACCTCTTGGCCCCGGGATCCGTTACTGTGAAGCGCTCTGAGACGCCGTCCGGCGTGGAGGGCGCTATATAAATCCATGTTGTTGTTTTGTTTATAGATCAAATTGTATCGAGATTACATTTATAAAAAAGATTTATTTTCATTATCTACACTGCAAAATTGTAATTACGCACAACGGGTTTATAAGCAAAGATAAACTATTGTGGAGTCCTAAATCTCAGTGGTTAGAGCACTCGCCTCGCAAACGAGAGACCTGGGTTTGATTCCCGGTCAGGGCGAAATGTTGGTCAAGTTTCGTACCTCAACATTCATCGTTTACCTAGCAGTAAGTAGGAACCCAGTTGTTAGTCGATTGGTGGATTACTTTTCCTGGGGTAATAATTTGTTGAAAAAAAATTATAAATTGGTCACTCAATCCACGCAATTGGCTGCTGCATTTCACCCACTAAATATACAGTTGATTCACTTTACAGTATATTCTGTGAACCAATTTGGGACGTCTCGGAAGACATGATAAGGTGCTATATCAAATACAAGGATTATTATTATTATTATCTCTAGATTGTTTCTTTAGAATGGATCAAAACTAATGGCTGTTGTTCTGTATGAATTGGGCAGGTGGCACTGTGGACCCTTGGACAGCAAGTTGCCAGCACTGGCTATGTGGTTGAGCCGTACAGAAAGTACCCTTCTCTGCTCGAAGTTCTATTGAATTTTCTAAAGACTGAACAAAACCAGGGTATCCGAAGAGAGGTAAGGAACGGAATTTGTTTGTGTGTGTGTGTATTCACAGATAAATAAACAAACTTATCCATCGAAATCCTTTGATCCATGTGACTCTCATAAAATCTCATCTTCATTTCTGTGTAGTTCATTTTATACCTTGCTTTCAGTCACTCTGTGGTGTAAATCGGTTTGTCCACAAAATATGCAGTTAATTCAGTTTAAAGTATATTCTATGAAGCTCTTTGAGACGTCTCAATGATGTGATAAGGCGCTATATCAAATGCAAGGATTATTATCACTATATTGTGGTGCACCGTCTTTGGGTGGGGACTGTGACCTGCCCTCAGGTGTTTATTCAACAACAACAACTTGGATTTATGTAGCGCCCTACACGCTGGATGTCGTCTCAGAGCGCTTCACAGTAATGGATCCCGGGGCCGAGCCAGGGGGAGGAAGATAACCAAAGGTGTGGTTGAAACGAAAGGTCTTCAGCAGAAACCTGAAAGTAGGAAGAGAGGGGGCGAGGCGAAGTGAGTGAGGAAGGGAGTTCCAGAGCCTCGGGGCATAGTGGCTGAAAGCACGGCCGCCGAGGGTGGAGCGGAGGACTCGGGGGACGAGGAGGAGGCCAGACCCAGAGGAACGAAGGCAGCGGGTACTGTTTTGAGGAGAGAGAGGTCGGGGGTGCAGAGGAGTGGAGGGATTTGAAGACAAGAGTGAGGATCTTGATTTTGATCCTCTCTGGGACAGGCAACCAGTGCAGTCTGGCCAGGACTGGGGTGATCGGGGAGCGGAGTTTGGTGCGGGTGTGAATGCGGGCGGTAGAGTTTTGAATAATCTGGATTTTATGAATGGTGGTGGATAGGAGGCCGGTATACATTATATATATATATCATTACATATGATATTATATATTGTATATGTTTTATATATATAATATGTATAGTATTCCTCAGCTAACTGGATGTAATAGAAACGGCAGCAAATTCTTATCTTTATCTTCTTGCATATTAACCCTTGGGTTAAGACGTCATTCTTTCAAAATATAGTGATTTTATCTGATTGCACAACATCCTATTTGTAGCCGTTTGCATTGAGTTGTCGTTTTATTTGCTCAGCCGGGTGTCTGACACATGTGGAAACCCATCACCATGTTTAAGAGTATCCAAACCAAACTGAGAATTCCATGCATCCCACCTACACGCCTGAGCAATAGTCTATAGCACGCACCTGCATAACAGTCTATTGTGCAGGTGCCAGCCTGCCTTGGCACACTTCAGCTTCCCTCTAGACCGTGTGTATGGAAGCAACTGAGCTCAGATCGTAGCCATTGCAAGTTCTTATTTACTTTTTAAATTTTTTCCTACAAAACCCACTAATTTTTAACTTTCTCCTTGAGCCATACTCCTTGGCTCCCATCAACGTATTCTGTCCTGCGGCTTTGACCTCTTCAAGTTCCCCGGCCTATCCCTCAGACACAACAACAACTTGCAATTATATAGCGCCCTTCATGCAGGGTAGTGACACAGAGTGCTTGACTCACTGAACCGGTCATAACTTAGGCGTAGGTGAGATCCGCAGCTATCCTTCCTTCCCCACATCCAACCTCTGACCAGGACCGCCTTCCTCCGCCACATTGACCCAGATGTAGCCGAAACACTCGTCCATTCGTTCGTGACCTCCCGTCTTGACAATTGAAATGGGAGAGGCTATGTATACACAGTGAGAGATACTAGAAGAGGCTGGGTCTATACAGGAGAGGTTGTGTGTACAGGAGAGACTGTGTGTATACAGTGAGAGACACTGGGAGAGCTGTGTGTATACGTGCCTGATAATAATCCCTCAGAAAAAAAACAATAATGATTTGGTCACTCAATTCACGACTGTTTGTGGGACACGCCTTGCACAATTGGCTGCCATGGTTTGTCCACATATATACAGTCAAATTCACTTTACAGCATATTCTGTGAAGCGCTTTGAGACGTCTAGGAAATGTGAAAAGCGTCAAATCAAATGCAAGGATTATTATTATTATCTCGACAAACCCAGCTGATCCAAAGCTCCGCCAATCGCATACACACCCGTACCAAACTCCGTACGTACCCCAATCAACGACTTCTAGCCAGGCTCCACTGGCTCCCCATCACTGAACGGATCGATTTCAAGATCCTCACATTTGTTTTCAAATCCCTTCTTGCCTGGCAGCTCCCTACATCTGACCAGCTTACTCCCCAACCCACAACCTCCGCCTGACTGGCTCCAGCCTCCTACTTGTCCCTCGTGCCTTCCATTCCACCACTCCATTCATCCCCTATGCCCCGAAAATCTGGAACACCCTTCCTCTACCCCTCTGACTTGCCCCTTCCTTCCCCAGTTTTAGATCGTGCCTAACGATCTTGCTGCTTGACCGTGCCTACAGTCACCTCCCCTTCCCCGGCTCAGCCACTGTCAAATGCTCAGGGACTATATTATATAGCTATTCTATGTGAGGGGCTCTCTATAAATACAAGTTGTTATTCGTTTTTTAATGATTTTTTTCCCATTTTGTTTTATTTTTTCATTGCTTATTTTTATTTCGCATTTATGAAAAACACTGGGCTGTACCTATTCGGCTAAAGGCTGCCAAATTGGAGCTAATACTATCTTAATAAGATGCCGACCATCTTAATAATATCTGTTTACACTCTGAATTCAATTTCACTGATTTGCCTCTCTCATTAAGTTGTTTGACTTTAATAAAACAGGTAGAATTGTGTATATATAATATAGCTTTATTGTATGTAGCTATATTATGGAGTCCGGTAGCATAGTCGGCTCGCAATCCAGAGGACCCGGGTTTGATTCCCAGTCGGGACGAAACCTTAGGCAAGCTTCCTCTGCTTACCTAGCAGTAAGTAGGAACTCGGTTGTTAATCGATTTTTTGGGGGTAATACTAATAATTTGGTCCACAACTGTTTGATACTGTTATGCCAATTGGCTGCTGCATTTCGCCCCGAAAATATACAATTTACTTTACAATATATTCTATGAGACGTCTTACAGACGAGAAAAGGCACAATATCAAATGTGAAGATTATTATTATAAATAATTATTGGGGAAAAGAAGCACTCCCAGCAATACAAGAACATATTCTAGGCCCGACATATTGGATTTCTTATCCATTAATCATGTTGTATAAAGCTCCAGCAGCACCTCATTAAGAACTACTAATGACAGTGCTGAACCTAAAAACTGTTAATGGTTGGACAAAAATGTAGCCTTGCCATAATTATAAATGTATTTTTCATCAGGTCCTGTTTCTGTCTGGAAAAACATGTGGCAACTTTCTTTCATTTATAATTTCCAATGTTGGAATTAGGGTACCTCGCAAAATGGCACTAGCTATTGAATCAGACATCCAAGGAGGGTCGCAGGCTGGCTCTCTGGGCTTGAGCTGTTTGTTGAGCTCATCGATAGTACATGAGTAGGGAGGTGGGAATCACTTTCTTAACCTGATTTCTGGGCATTGGCTGTACTGTGTGTTGGCGCAGCGGTAGCACTGTTGTCTTCAAGTTTGAAGGTTGTGCGTTGAAGCCTCCCTTCGGGACATGGAATCACATAGTGTGAAGTGACACTCCAATGCAGCGCTGGGGTGTGTTGTGTTGCTAGAGATGCCGTTCTTCGTATGAGACATTAAATCAAGATCCCATCTGCCTGTCAAGGTGGATGTTAAAGATCTATGACACTATTTGAAAAGAGAAGGGAGTTTCTTCTGCTGTCTTGGCCAACAATTCCCCAAATAAGATTGATTAGTCACTAGTTTGTGGGACACTGCTGGGCATAACTGAATGCCATGTTTATCCACAAAATACAAAGTCAATCCACTTTACAGTATATACTGTGAAGCGCTTTGAGACGTCTCAAAGCTGTAATAATAATAATAATAATCCTTGCATTTGATATAGCGGTTTTCATGTTGGGAGGACGTCCCAAAGCGCTTCACAGAACACACTGTAAAGTGAATTGACTGTATTTTTGTGGGCGAACGCGCAGCCAACTGCGCACAGCAATATCCCACAAACAGTCGTAGATTGAAAATGACCAATTTATTATTATTTTTGGTTTTGGAGGGATTATTATTAGGCTCTGTGTGGAGTAAGGAAACTTGCCCGAGGTTTCGCCCTCTGCCTGGAATTGAACTTAGGTTTCTCGCTTGCAAAGCGAGCGCTCTAACCACTGAGCTACAGGACTCCAATAAGGTGATATATCAAATGAAAGGATTATTATTATTACTGGAAAGCTTTACGCGTGAATAGTTCTGGTAAGGTAATTCCCTCCTATTTTATTTGTCCTCTATCCCTTCCCAGTCACTCGTAACTTGCTTTGTTCAACATTTTGGGTTCATACATGATACTTCATGTGTTGGAAAATACCCCATCTTGTATATTTTATATAATTTTATGAATGAAATGACTGGTGAAGAATTGTCTAAAATGTGCACTAAGCCCATGGTTTCCTCTGCTGTAGTGTTGAGTATTCGTAACTTTTCAAAAAAAAAAGTCCTTTGGACAAGGTGTGACCAGTTCAAGAGTTACACGTCTGTCAAAAAAAATGTTTTGTAATGTATCAGTGGTGTTTTTTAAAAAAAGGTTTTGGTAAATGTGTACATAAGAACATAAGAATTAGGAGCAGGAATAGGCCATTCGGCCCCTCGAGCCTGCCCCGCCATTCAATAAGATCATGGCTAATCTATTCTAACTATCTACCCGCCTTATCCCCATATCCCTTAATCCCATTTATCAATCTCAGTCTGGAAAATAATCAAGAACTGAGCATCTACAGCCCTTTGGGGTAGAGAATTCCATAAATTCACTACCCTCTGAATGAAGAAGTTTTTTCTCAACTCGGTGCGAAAGGACTTACCCCTAATTTTAAGAGGGGTAAGTTATGGTTACATAATTTGTTATGGTTAAGTTATGGTTATAGTTTCTCCAACCAGTGGAAAAAGTCTCCCATTATCTATTCTGTCCTGCCCCTTTCTTATAGGTTTCTATAAGATCACCTCTCATTTTTCTATATTCCAGAGAATATAGGCCTAAATTGCTCAACCTATCCTCATAACTCATCCCCTTCATCCCTGGTACCAACCTAGTAAATTGTACCCCCTTCAAGGCAAGTACATTCTTTCTTAAATAAGGAGACCAAAACTGCACACAATACTCTAGATGCGGCCTTACCAGGGCCCTATACAGTTGCAGCGAGACTTCCCTACTCTAATAATCTAACCCTTTTGTAACAAATGCCAACATACCGTTAGCCTTCCTAATTGCTTGCTGTACCTGCAAACTAATATTTTGTGACTGGTGTACAAGGACACCCAAGTCCCTCTGAACGCTAACACTATCTAGTCTCCCCTTCTAAAAAATAATCTGCTCTACTGTTTTTGTCACCGAGGTAGATGACCTCACACTTCCCTACATTATACTTCATCTGCCACCTATTGCCCACTCACCTGTATCTGTATCTCATTGCATTTTTTTAATGTCAGCCTCGGTGTTCACTCTCCCTCCTAGTTTAGTGTCATTTTTGCATTGTACATTTTTACGAAATGAAAAGATGTGAAGAAAATCAGCAGTTGTAAATGTCAATGAAAACAATAATTTATTTGAAAGCTTTTTGTAAATCATTGAGTTTGACCCTTGTCACTATGTGTAGTTCTGTTGCTCAGTGGTTAGAGCACTCGCCCGCAAGTGAGAGGAACTGGGTTCGATTCCCGGGCAGGGTGAAATGTTGGGCAAGTTTCCTTACTCCATACACCTCTGTTTATCGAGGAGTAAGTAGAACTCAGTTTTTCAATTGGTGGATCGCTTTTCGGTGGGTGGTAATCTCTTTTTAAAAAAATTGGCAATCCACAACTGTTTATGTGTTGTCCACAAAATACACAGTCATTGCTATACAGTATATTCTGTGAAGCGCTTTGAGATGTCTTAAAGACATGATAAGGCGCTGTATCAAATGCAAGGATTATATGGATTATTATACTTTTCTCTACAGGCTATCCGGGTCTTGGGGCTGCTCGGTGCCTTAGATCCGTACAAACACAAAGTCAACATTGGGATGATAGATCAATCACGAGATGCTTCCGCTGTCAGTCTGTCTGAGTCCAAATCCAGCCAGGATTCAGGTATGAAAGCGATGTAAAGAGGAGAGGCCCCAAAATTCTCTTAGTCTTAATTTCTTAAAAATTAAGATTGGGTAGACATTAGAAAATTCTTAAATGGTGCTTTAATTTGGAAGTTGTTATTCTACAATTCCAAATTTAATCCAAGTTTAAGAATTTTCCAGAGCTCTGTACAATTTCTTCATGTATAAGACAATGGCTTGAAGCCTAAATAAGACCCACACACTGACTGATCTTTATTGTTCTCTGTAGTGCTGAGATTTGAGTGAGGATCTAAAGCTATCACCCTTCAAACATTGTATATTTTGCAATTGTCTGTAAAAATTTTGATGGCTTTAACAGTTGCACCATCAAAGTGTACAGTGGCTCACGAATAAACTTAAGGATGACTAAACCATTGATATGCACATTTAACTGCTTAGTTATAGAGTCTTTTAGACAGCTATATATTTGCATTCTGAGTCTGTCTCCTGTGGGATTTTTTCTTTATTATCACTTTTACTTTTCCTGTACCATGTTTGATTTCTCTCTGTCTCTCCCCCTCTTGCTCTATTTCTCTCACTTTTGTGAAGTTTCAACTCACAAATTTCTGACTCAGAGTGAGTGTTCTTCTAACTGAATCATCCTATGCTACAAATGTTCCATGATTCCACAAAGTAAACCATGTGTTTGATATTGGACGCATTGCCCACAAGAGAAAGAAACTCTTGAAACTGAAGCCTAATTCTCCCAGTATCAGGTGTTTTCCAGTAATTTATGGTTCAAACAACATTGCACGACTGGCTACAAAAGCTAACCGATCTTAACCAACTTTATTGAGAGTAAACGCACCTTTTTTATGTTCATTTCTTCAACCAGATGTGCCGCAGGAAATCATCCGTGACCTTAAGTAATAAAAAGTTATGATAGAGTAAAATAGTGTGTTGATAGGTTATTAACATTAAAACGGTTACATCTGCTGTGTAATGGCAAGGCAGTCTGTTTCTATTTCTCTGCAAATTGTCGCAAAGCAAATTCTGCATAAAAAACAAACATTCTTGGACAGAAGTGGATGTATCCAAACTATTTCCAGGAAAGAATTTTAACATTATGATAATTGTCCTTGAATTTGAACTAAAGTCTTTCGTGACAAGAGGATATTTCAAAGCTTCACAATATTTACTGTAATTTCTAGGTGAACATGGTACCAATTTGTGCAAAGCAATGTCCTACAACAGACATGAAGTGAATGATCATTTTTTTTCTCTAATTAGTACATTAGTTGGCCTAATGTCCAGAGAATCACCCACATATCTTATTTCTTGAAACCCATGCCAATATAGTCTACATTTATGAGATTCTGTGGGCAGTATATTTCATGCTCTCACAATTATTTGTGGGAAGAAATGTCAGGAGATTGCCTCTTTATTTTTGATCCCCCTACCACAGCAGTACTGGGTGAGTATGGCTGAGCTGAAGTCTTTCAGATGAGATGTTGGCCCACCATGCAGCCTTCAGGCCGACTTTAAAGTTGCCGTGGCATTATTTGAAGAGAAAGACCTTATCCTGTTGCGTGTGGAAGAAGTGACAATGAAGGAGATAGGTTTATCCAATGTTGCTGACCAACATTCTTCCACATAAATTGATCATTCACTTAGTGGCCATTTGTGGAATGAGGCAGAAAGCCCCTTCTTTGACTACAAAACAATTGTTACATATGACTTTAATTGTTGTGAAGTATTTTGAGATGTTGTATGTTTGGAGCAGCTACAATAAGTTAGTGGGTCCTGTTAATGGTGATTTGCAACTGTTTGTAGGAATATGTTCTTATCCGTGTTATGCCTGATTTTCAGTCTGCAGTTGCTCCAGTTACAGTATTAATGTTTGGTTTCCTTATTGCTCACAGCTGATTACAGCACCAGTGAAATGCTGGTGAATATGGGGAATCTGCCACTGGATGAGTTTTACCCAGCTGTTGCCATAGTGACCCTCATGCGCATCCTGCGAGATGCCTCTCTGTCAAACCACCACACTATGGTGGTCCAGGCAGTCACCTTCATCTTCAAGTCTCTGGGTTTGAAGTGCGTCCAGTTCTTGCCTCAAGTCATGCCCACGTTCCTGAACGTCATCCGAGTCTGCGACGCCAATACCAGAGAGGTAGGATTTCAAAAGATACTGGGAACCTCCCAGAACAGAACCCATGGATAAACGATTAAATTCCTCCAGAGTTCAGAGCTAGGGTATGGTGCAGGGCTTCCTAGAATTTGAGACATCGCCTAGTCCTGTGACACATTGTAAATGCAAAGAACTCAACCGTGCAATCTTGTGGCAAGAATAATGCCAATTCCGTGACTCCCATTGGCACCTGGACGACCCTATGGAATGAAACAACTATACTGTAAAACAATCATGCACTGTGCTTTCTAAGATTTGCTTTACCTTTTCTGAGAAGAGACGTAGTTTTGAAGAAGGAACTGGCCCATATGTCAATCCGGCGACTCATTTTCTGTGCTGGAGAAGAGTGAGGGAGGGAAGTAGTGGAGCGCACTTGTGTTCCAAGTGACATCTACTAATATGGGGCGAGGATATCTAGTATTCAGGTTGCATAGCCATTTTCCTGGTATGACTTAACTGATGAAAATGTCCATCTTCCTGGAATAAGAATTCTGAATTCAGGAAACAATTTACGACAAAGGAGATTTAAATACCACTTAATGCTATACAATTCTTAGAAATATTTACTGCTGTTTTCCTGCCTTTGGTGGTTTTGAGTATAGCGTGATAAATGGCTAATGGTATGATGAGTAACAGGATAATATGCCATGTTAAATTGAAGCTACAAGCCAAAATGCGCGACGTCGATATATTAGGAGTTGATTTTGCACACACATTACCAGTAATGTTTGTTATTTTCCCCATGTTATTTTCCTGTAAGAACCCAGCTGGTCTGAAATTCAACACATTTTGCAGACAGAAATCTTCTGGGATTGTTTGAATGTAGTGTTAAGACTTTAAAGCAATCAAGGCTGTAGCCCCTGGGAAGAAGCCAGGGAAAATGACTTATATCTGAAGCTGTATATAATGGTATATTTTCTTTGGCAGTTCTTGTTTCAGCAGCTGGGAATGCTCGTTTCATTCGTGAAAATTCACATCCGACCCTATATGGATGACATTTTCAGCCTCATCAAAGTAAGTATTGCTCCTTGTAGCAGCTTAGTTCCATCTTCCCTCTGTATGGGCCTTGCCCCTGGCTTCCATTGTGAGACCTTTGCTTCCCTGACTGTTGGATTATTTATTTATTTCCAGCTCAACATTCCTTTCTTGATAAACTCAATAATTTAAATCCAATATCCCTTGTGATTCAGGTGGCCCTGTGGGATTTCTTCTCCTGCCTGCCATTTCAAGGAATTACATATAATAATAATCCTTGCATTTAACATAGCCTTATCACGTCTTCGGGACAGCTCAAAGCACTTCACGGAATATACTGTAAAGTGTAGTGACTGTATTTTGTGGGTGAAATATATGATCAAAGAATGATCAAACACTGAAATCAGCCATTCAGCCCAACTCAGTCCATGTTCCACACCAGCCTCCACCCCTCCTCTTTTCTCTTCTGAAGCGCTCTATTCTAAGACACCTGGCTAACTTTGAAAAAAAGTCCTGCCAATGAACCTGGAGTCCTGTAGCTCAGTGGTTAGAGCACTCGCTTTACAAATGAGAGACCTGAGTTCAATTCCAGGCAGAGGGCGAAACCTTGGGCAAGTTTCCTTACTCCACACAGAGCCTAATAATAATCCCTCCAAAACCACAAACAATAATAAATTGGTCATTTTCAATCTACGACTGTTTGTGGGACATTCCTGTGCGCAATTGGCTGCCGCGTTCGCCCACAAATATACAGTCAATTCACTTTACAGTGTGTTCTGTGAAGTGCTTTGGGACGTCCTCCCGACGTGAAAAGCCCTATATCAAATGTAAGGATTATTATTATTATAACCTGGCTAATCTGTCAACAACATAACTATAGAGCAACCTACCTGGATCAGGGATCAGGTTACTAAAACCACTGAAGAGGGTGTACACTTGCCTTGGACACAATTTAGCTTCAAAGGGACTATGCTCATTTCTCCCCACAGAAACACAAATTGGTCATTAAATATCTGACCAGCACAACCTTGCTAGAACTATGGTTAGGTACCAAGTAACAGTTACCAGGAACTCTTAATAATTGTATTCAATTGCCAACACGGAAAATTAAGCCCCTATAACGACTGGTAATTTGTTATACTTTTAAATTGGGATGATAGTGAGGTGGGAGGGTGAAGACAACAACTTGCATTTATATAGTGCCCCTCATGTGGGGTAGTGTCTCTTAGCACTTGACAGTGACAGCGCCTGACGCCGAGCAAGGGGGAGGGGGTTGGGTGGGGTGACAGTAAGGTCGAAGAGGAAGTCATGACCTGAAGATGGGAAAGAAAGGGGCAAAGCGGAGGGATAGAAGAAAAGTGTTCCAGAGTTTTGGGGCATAGTGGCTGAAAGCGCTGCCACCAATGGTGGAATGGAGGGCATGAGGGATAAGCAGGAGGCTGGAGTCAGTCGAGCAGAGGCAATGGGTGGTAGATTGGGGAGTAAGCAGATGGGAGTGGTATGTAGGTGACTGGACATGAAGGAATTTAAAGATGAGTGTGAGGATCTTGAAATCGATCTGTTTGGTGATAGGGAGCCAGTTGAGCCTGGAAGGGCTGGTGTGATGAGGATACGGAGTATAGTGCGGTGATTACGCGGGTGGTGGAGTTCTGGATTAACTGGATATTGTGGACAGTGGAGTGGAGAGACTGGCTAAGAGAGTATTGGAATAATGGAAGGAGGTGAGGACAGCATGGACGAGAGCTGGAAGTCAGAGTTACAGCACTGTAATAATTGTAGGAAAATCAGTACAGCTGTCTCAAATATCTTGTTCCTCTCTCAAGGGCACAGTTGGGAATCAAATTAAATCAAATATTGTTACATCATCATAGTCGGATAACGTATGAACATTTGTACATTGGGACAGATCAGTCAGTTATTTGCTTTCATTTGTAAGTACATAAAAGTGGCCTCTCACGCCCACTGACTGACCTGTCCCAATGTACAAATGTTCATATGTTATCCGACCATGATGATGCATTTATCGATAATTCCCGACTGCGCAAATAACAACCTTGAAATAATCTGTGCTTTCTAATCTTTTGTACTTTAATTAAACCAGAAAGTTATGAACACACCACTGTAATAATTGCAAGGAAATTGCTACAACTGTTTATAGCGCCAATTCATTCCCTGTAGATTTGATTATTGAGATTTTATTTCAACAAAGAAATAAGAAATAAAACATAAGAGAAAGAAAATTGCCAGGTGGGAAATTAAACTTCAGTCTGTGCTATCATGTATCATATCCTCAGACTACAGATAAATAGTTTCTGTATATTGTAATGGTATGAGTACATGGTATGAGATGAGTACATGCTTGACTATCTTTATGGTGCTCCCTAAAGGAAAGAAGGATTGACTACTCAGAATAGGTTAATAAATAACAGGAGCCAATTTTGTAGTTTCCGCTGAGGCAAAGAGACTTTCTTTGACATAAATGTATTTGTTTTTTTTAAAGGATTTGTAAATCCTTTAAAGTGTCTGTGTGAAAATTAATCTGCGCATTTTGACATCTAATGGTTTGCAGCGGTGGAGATAAATTTACAGGATATGACAGCTTTCCCCAATGTTTAGAGCATGGATGCATCCTGGTGTACTTGATAATGTCATAAAGAAAAGTTGATTGTCCAAATGCAAAAAAAAATTGCCACAAAAAATAACATGGGTGATTGTCAATGCTGCGTAATACAATCTGTTTCTAATATCACTCTGTTGTTTTTGCTCAGGATGAGGTATGATTTGAGAGTTCACTTTTCATTAAAATCAATGCTGACTTCACAATTTCCATAGACATGCAGTTGGAGGGGTGTTTGTTTTGTTTACCTAGTTACTATAGTAGTTGTTTGACCATCAACTTTCGTTTAAACCTTTCTCCTAAGGCCGACTAAGTCTATTTCTTCAATCGCCCGCCTCCCCCACTATCTGGCCCACCAGCCCCAAGATTCCATCCTCCACAAACTCCAGATCATCCAGAACTCTCTGTCCTCAACTTCTCTTACACTAGGATCCGTGATGCTCACCTTGTTGTCACTTGGCTCCACTGGCTTCCATCCCTCAGCAGATCGACTTTCAGATCCTTGCTTTTATGTTCAAATGCCTCCATTGAATTGGAGTCCTATAGCTTAGCGATCAGAGTACTTGCCTCGCAGGCAAGAGTCCTGGGTTCGATTCCCGGCAGGGCGAAAGGTGGGGCAAGTTTCCTTACTCCATGCGACTTTGTTTATCTAGCAGTAAGTAGGAACCTGGTTGTCAGTCGATTGATAGATCACTTTTCCGGGCTTTAATAAGACCTTCAAAAAAAATAATAATGGATTAGTCAGACTATTTGTGGGACACTGCTGTCCGTGTTTTCCCCACAAAATATACAGTCACTACATTTTACAGTATATTCTGTGAAGCGCTTTGAGACGTCTGGAAGACGTGATATGGCCCCAAAAAAATTCAAATGCAAAGATTCTTATTATTATTATCGGCCTTGTTCCACTATTTCTCTGTTACCTCTGGTAACCCTACTTCACTGATCGATCCCTCTGTTCCGGCAGCTCTGGCCTGCTTTATGCATCATAAATTGGTGGTCAGAGACTGGGGGTGAAAATATTCTTTTGTAGGGGGATAGAGAGGGGCCTGAGGCCTCTCTTCCCTCTTTCTCTCTCTCTCTGTTTACAAAGGCTCTAATAATGGCCATGAGTGAAGCTTGAAACAAAATGCAAAGAGTGAAACAAAATTGAAACTTTTCCAGGAATATTGGACACTGAACAACCCGATGCAAAACACCATCATCCTGGTTATTGAGCAGATTGTGGTTGCGCTGGGAGGAGAGTTCAAGCTGTATCTGCCTCAGTTGATTCCTCATATGTTGCGGGTTTTCATGCATGACAACAGTGGAGGTCGCAGTGTTACTATCAAGGTGAGTGATTGTGAGCTTTGAAACCATTTGGTGCTGGGAATGCGTGGTTTACAATTGTACTATTTTGGACTAAGCACTTGTGTCTCACCTGTAGTGCAGATAATTTTGATGATAGGTGTAAAACTGCAGGGTACTGCCCTCACCCTCTGGAACTCCACCCTGCAGACCCTCCTCCTCTCCCTCTCCCTTGCGTCCTTCAAGACCCGCTTAAGATCCTCCTCTTCGACAGTGCCTTCGATCACCCTCCTTTTCCCCCCCTTCCCCCTCCAGACCCTGCACCCTCCCCGATCCTGCCCCCAGCTCACTGATTGTCCAGTGCTTTGGGACGTCCTCCCGATGTGAAAGGTGCTATACATGTCATTTTGCTGTTATGTCCAGAAGAGCTCTGGAATCAATTGTTCCACAAAAGCTTTTCAATTTACTGTGCTGTCCTCCCTTTACTCTGCCTCGCAGTGAAGTAACACTTGGGTGCAGGTCTTTTGTGGGACATTTATACTGCAGACGCCAATTTGACACAATACACAGAATGCAAGTAAGCCAGCAGGATGGAGTTCCATTGCCTGCTTGAGTGAAAGTAAAGCAAGGTTTTTATTTTGAGCCTTATTGTCCTAAACATCTTAAAAAAAACTTCACAAGTAATTACTGTCAAGTTCAGTGAATGTCTTTTATAGATGTGCATGGCAGCTAGTTATGCACAGCAAATTCCCATAAAGAGGTATAAATAACCATTTAGTCTGCAAGACACATGGCCAGCCAAGACACTAGGAGAAGTTGCCTTTCATTTTACACTTGTGTCATGGGAGTATCACCCTGACAGGCAAAGAAGACCTTGATATCATCTGAAAGATTGCATCTCCAACAATCAGTGCTGAACTTGATTGTTTGATTGTTTCAACATCGCCCGGCTCCGCCACTGTCTCACACTGCAAACCGCCGAGAGCCTCATACACGAATTCATAGCATCCAGGCACGACTACGCGAATTCCCTGCTTGTCGGCCTCCCCAATTCCTCCATCCATAGGCTGCAGATCATCCAGACCTCTGCAACCCATGTCCTCTCCCGCACCAGGTTCCACGACCCCATCACCTCCATTATCGCCCGATTCCACTGGCTTCGCATCACACGGAGGATACAGTTCAAGATCCTTGTCCTCACCTTCAAAGCCTTGCTCTCCTCCACCTCTGTGACCTTCTAACACCTACCAACCTGCCCGCGCCTGCTTCACGTCCCCAGCCTTGCCTACCCCACTATTGGCGGGCGGGCCTTCTGCCACTCTGCCCCTACCCTTTGGAATTCCATTCTGCAGTCCCTCCACCTCGCCTCCTCCCTTGCCTCCTTCAAGATCTGTCTCTTTGACTGTGCCTTCGATCATCCTGCTTCCCTCCCCGCCCTCCATCCTCCTTGATCCCAAACCACAGCTCGGCTCCGAAACTCTATATGTCCAGCGCTTTGGTCCGACCTCCCAACATGAACGGTGTTATGTTTTGTTGTTGTTGAATCAGTTCTACACTGGACTGTCAGCCTCTGAGCTTAAGTCTCAACATAGCACTCGACCTAGAGGCAAAAGTGCTGCCAACTGAGCCAAACTAGCACTAAGGTGAAGCATTGCCACGAGTGTGAAGCTCTGCTATATAAGCCCCTAAATACAAGTTAGATTTTAACATTAAGGAATTGATAGTTCTATGATTTAATAAAATCTCGAACAGTCAGTAGAATGGAGCTCTTGTGTTAAATAAATATATTTTAAGTGTTCATTTATTTCTGAAATGGACATTAATCCTAATATTGTATTTAGGTTTTACTTACAAGTTCTTTGTTCTTTGTTTCTCAAATTTAATGGGGAAAATGAACAGAATTGGCTTGCCTTGTTTGATAGTTTCTTTTTCTGTACATGTTTGTTTTCAGTTACTAAATGCAATTCAACTCTTCGGAGCTAACCTGGATGATTACCTACATCTGCTGCTTCCCCCAATAGTCAAACTATTTGATGGACAGGAAGTTCCGCTGGTGCCTAGAAGGTCAGCCAAACCATTGTAAATTTAGACTTGTGTTAGTGCATCAGAAATGAACTATATAGCATATCAAGCATCCATAATTAAGTATCATGCTTTTTTCAAACAACTTGCATTTATTTACCTTTATCTAGGTAGCGCCTCAAAAATAAACTAGAATATTTTTAAATATCCCCAAAATAGTTTTCATATTTAAATCATAATTTGGTCACTCAATCCCCAACTGTTTGTCGGACACTGCTGTGCGCAATTGACTGCTGTGTTTTGCCAAAAAAATACACAGTCACACCACTTTACAGTATATCCTGTGAGACTTCTCGAAGACATGCTAGGGTCCTATATCAAATGCAAGGATTATTATTATTATTAACGTGACTTGAGAAGTTTCTTCGCACCTGCCATCATTTTTTGTAAAGTGAACTGTATATTTGTAAAGCATGTTTTGTGAAAAGTGCAATGTTTCAAAATGGGGGCGTTCTATAGCGGGGGAATGGGATTAGTCAGTAGCTCTTTCAAAGAGCTGGCACAGGTACGATGGGCCGAATGACCTTCTCTGTGCTGTAAAATTCTATGATTCTATGAAATTGATAAGTAAAGAAATAGCTCAATTAGAGTTGTTAATTATCAATTAGCTTCAGATTTTCAGCTGAACAAATTCGCTAGTTTTGTTTTAAGAATGAAAATTGGCTTCGAATTCAGACTGAATTTATTAGATTTATCTCCACTTCAATGTAACCTGACAATTTTGGACAAAAGAGTTTTGCCCACAAAATACTCAGTCAATTCACGTTAGTCTGGGAAACAGGGAGTAAGGAAACTTGCCCAAAGTTTCATCTTGCCGGGAATCAAACCCGGGTCTCTCGCTTGTGAGGTGAGTGTTATAACCACTGAGCTACAGAACTCCAGAACTGTGATGGGAGGGTGGATACCTGGAGGGATGGCCGAATTGCTTCATCCAAACTCATGTTGTGATCTTGTGATTTAAAAGGGTTTCCCTGGAGACTCTGGATCGTTTGACAGAATCTCTGGACTTCACAGACTACGCGTCGAGGATCATCCACCCAATTGTACGCACACTGGATCTCACTCCAGAATTACGTCAGACTTCCATGGATACCCTCTCATCGTTGGTATTCCAGCTCGGGAAAAAGGTAAAGGTGTCTTTTTTTGGCCTAATATTTGCTAACTATCTTTACTGGATCAGTTTTATTGTTAATATATTTGTGCTATAACTGTCCTGTTTTGTTAAAGTATTTTTGTTACATTTTAGCTTGTCTCTCTACCTGTAAGTTCTTTCTACAATCTTTCATTTTGCAATAGAAGGCTTTATAAGAACTGTAATATTTGTTAATCCAGAACACAGTTTAGATTCACTAGTTCCTTTATTTAAACCTTAAACTTACACTCACTTGGACAATCTGCCCAGTCACTGACCCAGAATATTTTTATACTTGCTTCTCATTGTCAATGTCCAATGGCCAATTAAGTCATTAAAGCAATATGCAACAAAAACAATAGGGTGATATTTGCCCACAAAAATACACAGCCAGTCCACCTTACAGCAAAATGGAGTGTAACCATATCTCAACAACGTGATAAGGTGCTATATCAAATGCAAGTATTACTATATTATTTGCACTCTAGACTTGCATAGGATTCATAAATATTAAATGCTGCTGGTGATGGTATGTCATGAAAACTCATGACAACATCAGTTGTCTCCCTGGATTCAACACTTACAAATCATCTGCAAAACCAAGTTTTTGGTTATTGCATTTGCATACCACACTCAGTGTGTTACAGAGAAGTAGAACATTTTGATTGCTGGTACCTGGGCTTTAATCCAACCCAGATTGATTTGAGGGAGGGGCAGGGGAGGGAAGGAGCCCATCACCCTGCTGCCTGGACACACCTGTGAGTTGAATTGGGGCGTTTTCGACCCACTTCCTAGATTGCCACGAATCATCAATAGTATCCAAACAGGCTATAGGAATAACTAGTGTAAGAATGGTCCTTCCCAAACATCCTTGTCGCTAATCTCTTTCCCCCGGCTCGACGTTGCGCTCCGTCACTGTCAAGCGCTCTGGGACACTATCTTGCGTGAGGGACACTGTATAAATGCAAGTTGTTGTTGCTAATGTTTATTTAAGCTAGACAGATGTCGATTGTGATTCTGTAAAGGTTCCAGTTCAAAGAGCAGTGTAGGCTACGCGTGAGATCCCTAAATGATTGTTGCATTCAGATCTGAGGGGCAATTGTTTTGATCCATTGATGGAAAAACAGTTAACTAGTCTGCCGCAACTTGTGTGTGTTGAAGTTGAAATTCACTTGTAATACATAACCCTCACACCGCAGTCCCAACACAGCAGGCCACCTCATTTTGACTGTTCCAGATACGGTTTAGGTGTTGGAACATTTTGTAGCCAATAAACCAGGTTGCAGTCTGCCAGTCTTCGCAATGGTTTGGGTTCATCAATATTTCCACCATCTTATTCTGTAAACTCACAATTTCCAAATATTTGATCTCTCTCCTCAGATTGCCTGCTTCAATATTTCCATTTAAATAGTTGGTTACGCTTGAGAGCCTTAGCTGGCAAACCTTGGGACTTTTACGGCGATATTTTGACTGGGACCCGACCCTTAGGACACCTTGTACTTGCTGGTTACAAAAATATGTGAAAGAAAAAGCTCTTTTCTATAGTTTGCTATAGTTGTTTAGCTCTTAATTGTGCGAATTGTTGGCAAATGAAGTAGCAATGCCTACAAAGCTGTAATTTAATTAGGGATTTTGGAGACTTGTTAATGAGGAAGGACTTTCTGAACATTGGCCGAACCATTAGTGTTCAAATACCATGAAGTAATTTCCCTTTATTTTGTTAATAGCCGCGCTTTCAGCCACTGCGCCCCGAAACTCTGGAACACTCTTCCTCTATCCCTCCATCTTGCCCTTTCTTTCCCATCTTCAGATCGCGCCTGAAGACCTTCCTCTTCGACTGTGCCTAAGGTCACCCCCCGCCACGCTCCGCCGGTCAAGCGCTCTGGGATACTTACCCTGAGTGAGGGGCGCATATAAATGCAAGTTGCTGTCATTGTTGGATGCTGGACACTTGCACGGTAAATTTCTAGCGCTGCTTAATTTGGTGACGGCCCTGTGACTAGGAGCAGTGGGAGGGAAGGAATCTAACATGTTTCAATGTAGCAGTCAACTATATTTTTCAGCGCAATCCTGAATAAAAGGGTCAGATAGCTTTCTCCTCATCAGTGATGAAGACCAACCTTTATGGTTCTATAATTATGAATGGTGGCTGATAAATTAATTTATGACAAATAAGGTGAAACACAAAACCAATAATATCCTAACATCAGGCATGACGTATTAATAAACAAAAATAAGTTTGCCCATAGCTGTAGTTGCTTACCTGTTTAAGTCTATTTAAGTGTGTTTAACTTGTAGGTTTAATGGTGGTTTTGTATAAGTTTCTCTGCCTGCTGCTCAAAACTGCGCATTGTACAAATACCGTGGCATAAATATTGGGTTGGGTTGGCCTCCAAATTATGACCCTTTGATAGACTGGAGACAAGACCATAAAAGTAGAGCTAGGATGGTTAGAAGTAAGATCAGAAAACATTTGTTCATACAGAGAGTTGCGAAAATGTGGAATGGTGCTCCCAGAAAGCAATAGGGACAGAATCAAATGGACTTGAGAAATCAGGGTATAAGGGATATGGAGAAAAGATAGGGAAGTGGTATTAAAAGATCTAATAAACTGCTGGAATAGGTTCAGTGGTCTGAATAGTCTTCTCCTGTTCCTATTTTCCTAAATGGAGGGAAGGAGATTCTGAAGAATGCCTTGAGGGTCAAATCTTCAAAAATAGAATGAAATCCTGGTGTCATTTTATAAAATAGATTTGGGCTGTATAATGGCACAGTATGTTCCAGTTTGGTGCAAAAATAAACAATGTTGGCTTGTGCATATCTTTTGCTATAAGCGTGAGTTACTGATTGAAACAACAACAACAAGATTACATTTATATAGCACCTTTCACGGCGGGAAGACGTCCCAAGACGCTGAAAACTGTACTCAAGAAACTACTCTTGAGAACATAGCAGAATAAATAGATAATGGTTGCATTTGTTATAATATCTATCACCTCAGAAGGATGTCTCATAGCGCTTCATAGGAATTACTGTAAAATACTGGGCATTTCTCACAATTGTAAATATCACAGTAATTCACTTCAGCCATGACTATTTTTATTTGAGGAATTTGTTGACCAGGACAGCGAGAGAAACTCCCTCCTCTTTTCGACTGGTGCTATGGGATCTTTAACATCCACTGAACAGCAGACAGACAGCTATCTTGTTATAGAGATGGTGAAAAGCTTGTTTTGAGGTTCTGCCTTGTACTGCTTTGGCATATTTCTTTGGTACCATTTGTGAAGAGGTCTGGAAATTGGTTGAAATTCTACAAAAACAGAATATTTTGCCCAAAAAATAAATATCACAATAATTGTGATTTTATTTTAAAACATTAAGTTAGAAGTTTCTAACAACTGCATTCAGCTTGCTGAACTCTTAGTGACTTTACCATCTCATTTTATATAAAAATTGGGATTTCAATCGAGAGAAATACTTTTTTTTGTGGATTGTAAATTATGGATTGCAATAACGTAGTGCAATTTAAAGTCTAAATTGGGAAATGATTTAAATATAATTTGTTGTGAAGCAAATTACAATATCTGATGCATTCAGGGCTTCTGTTGCTGGTGTTTGGTAATCAAAGCTATCTCAATGCAAAATATCTAAAATCTGGAACTGATTTGCCTGGTGTGGAGGAGGAGGGCAATAGTTGGTGCAATTGACTTGCATTGTTTCTTTTTACTTGAAGGATTTTGGATTTGAATCCAACCTCCTGATGGGAATCAACATTTTCTTTCTTTGGTGACTGACAGTCTCTGTAAAATTGATTAGGACAGAATGGAGCAATCTCTTCCCCAGTGGGGTGTGAGCTCGTAGCACAAATTTGGCCGTTTACTCAGATGTCCCAAGCATATTATTATGTGAGAATTGGAATAATTTAGGGTAATTCTTTCCTCCTCAGCCTATGATTGGCCTAAGCAGGCTTGATGCCTAAACTGGAAGTTGTTTTTCATTCTCCACCACTGACATAATTTAACTTGATGAAGCCAAAATGATCAGTAAAAGCATGTACACTTTTGGGTTGCTAGATACACAAGATGCACATACACTGCGTGACATTACCCTGTCAAGAATTGGCACAGTTTATTCAGTGACACAAACAGTATCCTCTATTTGCATAATTCAGTACAAATCGAAATTTACATTTATATAGAGCCTTTCATGTAGAAGATGTCCCAAGGCAACCGAGCTGGTGGTGGGAGTTGCGCTGGGAAGTGGGGTAGGATAAGGGTCTTACATAGTGCTTCAAAAGGAGGATTTGGAGGACAGGAAGGAGTGTTGACCAAAAGCAACAACAACAACAACAAGATTGCATTTATAGAGCGCCTTTCACGTCGGGAGGACGTCCCAAGGCCCTGGACAGTTGGGTCGGGACCCGAGCAGGGGGAAATGGTCAGGGTGAGGGGAGGGAAGGGAGGGAGTGAGGAGGGTGTAGAGAGTCGAGAGGGGAGGTGAAGGCATGATTGATGAGAAAGGTCTTGAGACCGGCCTTGAAGGAGGAAAGGGAGGAAGCGGCGAAAGCACTGGGGGATGGAGTTCCAGAGCCTAGGGGCTGAGACGCTGAAAGCCCGGCCACCGACGGTAAGCCTGGTGTAGGACAGTACACGAGCTGCAGAGTTCTGAATGACCTGCCGGGAAGGCCGACGAGGAGAGAGTTTCCGTAGTCCAGCCTTGAGGTGATAAAGGCGCTCAAGGGTATTGATTTTTAGAGGGGCTTTAAAAGCAGAAAGAAGACATATGGCAAAGGGGTATTGTGAGAGATTTGCATGGTGGCTGAAGTCACCATGCCCTGCTCCATCCTCACCAGGCTCCACTGGCTCCCACTACCCCCAGCTGATTGACTAAGATTCTATCTTGATCTCTTCTCAGTGTGTTATTCTATCAGATTTATTCTCCTCTGCTTTTACGATTTCCTGAATCAAGTCAATCCTTTATAGAAATCTCAGGGGTGCAGTTAGTGAGCGTGAGCGAGCTGAAGCAAGGCATGGTGGCTGAAGTCAAGGCTATTGATCGTAGAATCACCTGTCCATTAGTGCTTTGGCTTGTAAGATTAACGGGAGCTGACTGGGAAGAATACCTGCTCCCAGTGTCCAGTCTACCACTCCATGTCTTGATGATGAGCCAGGCTGTCTGGTCTATCACCTGGAGCACTGTAGACCCACCTGGCTCACTAACTGCACCCCTGAGATTTCTATAAAAGATTGACTCGATTCCGGGAATCGGAATCGGAGAATCGGAACCGGGAGAATAGGTCTGAAAGAATAACACACTGAGAAGGGATCAAGATAGAATCTTAGTTGATGAGCTGGGGGTAGTGGGAGCCAGTGGAGCCTGGTGAGGATGGAGGTAATGGTTTTGCACAGCACAGTTGAAGAGAGAATTTGGGCTCTCTCACTCAAAGTGAAATGGAATAAATTATGTATTGTTGATCAGTATATTCTTTAGGAGGGGTGAAACCGTACTGAGTATTTGTGTGTCAGCCTAGAACCAATGACTGCACCTGGCCAGTTTAGTCTCTGGGCACGAATACGATATGAGCATCTGTTGCTCATTCTCTAAGTGCAGATAATGAATCACTGGCGAGCTCCACGGAGGACCCAAAGGAACAGTGGTCGGCATCTGGGCGTAGACTGAGCCAAACACGTGGCAATTTCACTGATTAATGACCTCAGTGGGTTGATGTTGTGTGGGTTGTAAGAGGCGAGCATGTTGCACATTAAATGGATTGCCTAAGGGACATTACATCAATGTTCAAACAATCTTGACTTGTCGCTCTGGGTTAAAAATTCCATTTTAAATATTGTTTGTAAAAAAAAGTGTTGCTGCAGTTTCTGAAAAGGCTGCATTTTACAACTAATAACACTTACTTCACATTTGTAGAACTTCATATTTTATTGTAGCCTATAGATTTTTAGAAGAACTTTTTTATTAAGAAAAAATGTGTTGGTTTACACCTTTTAATTGGCCCAGTTTATTTACAAGAATAAATATACGGATTCCTTTCATGCGAGTGAAAACTCTCAAAAATACTTTGCAAAATAAGAGGGTGTCAGCTTGACTCCATTGGTAATGCTCCTCTTGCTTCTGTGTCAGAAAGCTGTGGATTCAAGCCCTGTAGGGAGTTAAGCTCATAGTCTAGATGCCTTAATACACTTCTGGGGAAAGCTGCATTGTTGGATAAGATGTTAACACAGGTCCTATTCTTCAGATGGATATTCAGGACTGTCTGAAGGAACCTGTGATCTAGCCAACAATCAAATCTACAGACTAATTCATCTCGTCGCTGTTTGTGGAAACTTGCTTGTGTAAAATGCCTGCCACGTTTGTCTACAAAAAAATCAGTCAATAAATTTCTGTAAAGCACTTTTTGAGACATCTTGATCTTATATATTGATCATACAGATCAAGATCAAGTACAAGGTTTATTTTTATTAATATAGTATTATTGCATACACCCATATAGTCTTATCCTAACCATCTAACTTTTATACAAGTGATTCACACAGCAAATTCGCAAACTGCAACTCATCTGAAACTGCGCACACCCATCACCTAGTCCTTGCTAGTGTTCACCTGTTGCTTTGCTCCCAGTGGATCGATTTCATTGCCCTCACACTCAAATACATCACTTCATGGCACCCTCCCGATCTTCCACTGCCCTGTTCCTTCTCTCGCCCCTTTCCGCTCAGCTAACTCAGGCATGCTACACATCCCCGCGCTCTACATCGATGGCTGAGCCTTCACTTCCAATGCTCCTAACCTCTGGATCTCCATCCCTCTACCACTCTGTCCTGTCCCCTCCACTTGCAGTCCTGCCTTAAATCCTACCTATCTCTTCTGAACATGCCTATGGCCACCTCCCCCTCTCCTGTGTCCTAAATTCAACCTTTCCTTATAAGATGCTCCAAGACATTACCGTACAAGAAGGATGCCGTATAATTCAAGTTGTTAATTAAATGTACTAAAGCATTTTGCAAAATAATTGCTCGCAATTGTACCACTAGAATCTAATGGCATCCTTTGTACATGCTTTTCAGTATCAGATATTTATCCCTATGGTGAACAAGGTGATGATCCGACACAGGATAAACCACCAACGCTATGATGTGTTGATCTGTCGCATCGTGAAGGTAAGCTTATATCCACAACAAGGGAACTTAGCATTGACATTGGAGCTAAGTCAGTTAGGCATGAGCTCTGGAGACATTGCTTCACCGAGAGTTGTGACAAGGTGAATGCACTAGCCTGTAGGTGGTCGAGGCAGAATGAATTGGGAAGCTCAAAAGGTAGAAGAGTAGATAGCTGGTAAGTAATAGTATGAAGGGATCAGGAGAAAATGTGGGAAAATTAGATTAAAAGTCTGATCTAAATGAATAAAATGGCATTAATTTAGATCAGACTTTTTTGATGGGGTGAATAGTTGAATGAATATTCCTGTGTTACTGTACTTCAAATTAGAATTGCAGCATTGCACTGAAAACAGTTTAATTTGCATTCATTGTAGCTTTTCTTTACTTTCTTTTTAAAATGTCCAGTTTACCTTTATAGGAAGACAAGCTGGACTTTCCAGTGTCCAGGTGGACTTAGAACCTCATTGACCATGCTGAGGCCATCTTTGTCCTCCCCGCACCCTCTATGCTCCAACACCCCTCCACGGATGCCCTGCCAGCAGTGTAAGCGTTGGAGACATCCTCCCAACATGAAAGGCTCCATACAGAATTATAGAATCCTACAGCACAGAAGGATTGTGCCTGTGCCGGCTGTTTGAAACAGCCACCAACTCGTCTCACTTTCCCTGTTCTTTCCTGATAGCCTTGCAACTTTTTTTCTTTTCAAGTATATATCCCCTTCTGTTTGAAGGCTATTGTTGAATCTGTTTCCAGCATACTTTCAGGTAGTGCATTCCACATTGTAACAACTCGCCTGTACATGTATTTATTATAAATGCAAATTGTATAGTGATGAATTCTCTTTCCTCCTGAAATTTTTGCACTAAGATGTAAAGGAAAACATTGATTTTTCTACATAGGGTTATACTTTGGCTGAAGAAGAGGAAGACCCTATCATTTTCCAACACCGAAGTTTACGGGGCAATCATGGTGACACCCTCTCCAGTGGGCCAGTGGAGACTGGGCCTATGAAGAAATTGCATGTTAGCACCACTAACCTTCAGAAGGTTTGTACATTGATTTGAATTACTGTGTATGTGTTTATGTTCTATATATGTGTTGGTTGCCATATCAACCTGTCCGCTTCCTCAGTTCAGCAAGCTGCGGCCTAATCCACGTCCCTCCCAGCCTGCCAGCCCCACCATCAACTGTCAGGCCTTCTGCTTCTTTCCCCTCACTGTTTAATAATATAATAATAATAATCCGTGCATTTGATATAGCGCTTTTCACGTCGGGAGGACGTCCCAAAGCGCTTCACAGAACACGCTGTAAAGTGAATTGACTGTATATTTGTGGGCGAACGCGGCAGCCAATTGCGCACAGCAATGTCCCACAAACAGTCGTAGATTGAAAATGACCAATTTATTATTGTTTTTGGTTTTGGAGGATTATTATTAGGCTCTGTGTGGAGTAAGGAAACTTGCCCAAGGTTTCGCCCTCTGCCTGGAATTGAACTCAGGTCTCTCACTTGCAAAGCGAGTGTTCTAACCACTGAGCTACAGGACTCCACAATAATAATTACAGTAATAATAGTTACAGCAATGTAATAATTACATTATTTTTGTTACATTATTATGTTTGGATCTCCATCCCGCAGTCCCTTTGCCTTGATCTCTCCCTTGCCACCTTCTAGTCACGTCTCAAGACCCTACTCTTCGACTGTATTTCGGCCACTCTCCTACCTCTTCCCTGCTCTCCTACCTTCCAACCCCCAGCTCGGGTCCAAATCTCTGACTGTCCAGCGCCTTGGGACATCCTCACGATGTGAAAGGCGCTATATAAACGTAATTTGGTGCAGTAAAGATTGTCTCTTATTTCTATTTGAGTATGTCAGTGAAAATACAGCATGTGAGGAAATTGAGGCAGGAAATTTCAGAAAACATTTTCTAAAAAATCTGTGTTTAAATTTTCAACACATTATCATGAATCTAATTGGTTCTTTCTGAATTTAATGGAAGATAGAAGACTGAAGTTTTTCTACTATTAAGATAACATTGAGGAGATTAAGGAGAGATTTAATCTGATTAAAGTAAAGATGCGAATTGACAAGGTAAATTAGCTCGGAGGGGATGAGGGGGGCATTGCTTTGCATCAGATGAATGTAGGATGATTAACGTTCACTTGAACTCTCATAAGGAACTATCATGTGGAGTCCTGTAGCTCAGTGGTTAGAGCACTCGCCTCGCAGCGAAAGGACCCGGGTTTGATTCCCAGGCAGGACGAAATGTTGGGCAAGTTTCCTTACTCCACACACTTCTGTTTACTCAGCAGTATGTAGGAACCTCGTTGTAAATCGATTGGTGGATCGCTTTTCTAGAGGTAATAATTTCTTCAAAAAAAATAATGATTTGGTCACTCAATCTATGACTGTTTATAGGACACTGCCGGCACAATTGACCGCCGCGTTTCACCCACAAAGGATACAGTCAATATGCAGTCAACAACAATAAATTACATTTGTATAGCGCCTTTCACGTCAGGAGGGCATCCCAAGGCACTGGATACTCGAATCCGCAGCCGAGTGGTTTAGATCAGGAGGGTTGGGGAGCGGGGAGGGTAGAGGTAGGAGGGTGACCGAAGGCACTGTCAAAGTGCTTTGAGACGTCACAAAGACAATGATAAGGTGCTATATCAACCATTATAAGGATTATTATAAGGCCAACAGTATCTCAGTTAAATTCCTCATCCGAAGAACAGTATTTCCAAAAAATTGGATAGAGCTTCCGATATTTTAGTGACAAGTCAACCAAGATTCTAAATTTAAATCTTTGTGTGGGGCTGAACCCCACAAGCTTCTGACTCCGACGGGAGAGTGTTGCCAGCTGAGCCAAGCTTGTAAATTCAGTGTCGCATTAAAATCCACAGTCTCTCTGCCCACACATGCTGTGTTAAATACTGCACTAAAATAATACACAGCAAGTCATGAAATGCAAGAATTTTAAAGAGCATATCGAATGAATAGCTCTTTACCATTGGTTTTATCGCCTATCGATGTGAGCCAAACACTGACTGCATCAGATGCAAAATTTAGATAGCCCAATCAAAGAAGGTGTTTTGGGCGGCGTAGTAACTGTAAGGCCCTGAACTATCGTATAAAATTGATTGTCGCAGCAGGTGATGGAACTATAGTACAACAGTTATTCAATGATAGCATTACAAGCAAGTTAATTGTGTGGTCTAATGTACAATCTTACCCTACTTTAATCATTTCTCGACTTGACCATGGTGTTTTGCTTTGTTGAATGAATGCTAGTTAACTGTAAGTGTCAGCTGGTCTGGAATAGAAGGTTGACACTCCAGTGGAGTACTGGGGGAGTGTTGCATTATAACAGATGTCATATTTCAGAAGGCTTTAAACCAAGCTCCTGTCTGTCTGTTCCAGATTGATGTTAACAAACCCATGATACTATTTGAAAACAGAGTTTCTCCTGATGTATCAGCCAAAAATCGTTCAGTCTGTTTGTGGGATCCTGCTGTGCGCAAATAGCTACCGGATTTGCTTAACAAAAAACAGTAGCTAACACATGACAATGTTTAGTGTAAAACACTGAGATGTTTCAACCTAGAATTTGCTTTAAAATGCAAATTTTTTTTCCTCTGATAAATTCTAGATAAGTTTGTTTATCTACATACTGTTAGGGCAGACAAGCTGAGCGAGTGGGAGAGACATTAAGTTTTCGCTGTTTGTAAAAACACTATTGTGGAAATGCAAGCAGACAGACGCTTTTACTGAAGCTATGGCACTGAGCTGCTCTGTATACACTTCATTTCCTCTCACATAGTTACTAAACCTTCTGCAACAGACCTTTCCAAACTATGTGACAAAGACTCAATTGTTTTCTGGATATGTGTTTCAGGCCTGGGGAGCGGCCAGGAGAGTCTCGAAAGATGACTGGATGGAATGGCTGAGGCGACTGAGTGTGGAACTGCTTAAAGAATCCCCATCACCTGCTCTCCGCTCCTGCTGGTCCCTGGCTCAGGCCTACAATCCCCTAGCTAGGTAAACAAAAATCCATTTGGGCTTTATTGCTAGTATAGGGATTATAAAAATATTCCAGAAGTGTTTCCTAATAAAAACTCTTAATATGTACGCACATAAAAATGGTTTGGGTAATTGCTGTTGCATTCTGTTCTGAAATAAATATTGAGCTTTATATCACAGTACATTATACTATTTTGAAATTATCTATTTTGCTCATTTTAAGAAGTTTGCTTAAAGAAAACAGGGATATAAGATGCCAAATACGATTGAGAAAACAATAGTTGTACAGTGGAGTTACAGACAGCGGGGACGGAATAGCTGAAAGCTCTCGCTAAGATGGCGGGGAGGATAGGGCGGGGCACATGAAGCTGGTCAAAAGAAGCGTCCAGGTCGGTAGGGTTGAAGGAGATCACAGAGGAGTTGGGTGGGGTGACCGTGCACTGATTTAAAGGTGGGAACAAGGATTTTGAATTTGGTCCATGGGGGGATGGGGAGCCAATGGAGCTGAGCAAAGATGGGGGTGTGGCAGAGTACATAGGCTGCAGAGTTCTGGATAGTATGCAGCTCGTGTAGAGAAGAACTAGGGAGTGGTGGAGGCAGCAATAACCTTGCATTTGATATAGTGTCTTATCAAGTCGTTGAAACATCTAAAAGTGCTTCACAGGATATACTGTAACCTAACTAGGAATGCATTTTATGGATGAAACCCACAAATTGTGGTAAGAGCACACATGGGCAATCTGAAGGTCAGCTGGGAGATAAGTCAAGACAGGAGGACAAATGGGCACAGGTTCAGGGTGTTGAGGATAAATGCAGGTCAGACACCAGGAAGGATTTCATTAGACATTGAGTAATTAACAGCTGGAACAATATTCGGATTACTGCGGTGAAATGTGTTGGTAATGTTTTTGGAGTGTTCTATGGGTTTACTGTTTGTTAGAGAAACCGTTTGTTACTATTCAAACCGTAGTTCATATTGTAATCGTTTCACGTGGAACTTTGTAATTTTTTTCTGTTTTGCATGAATAAACTCCGCAAGTGATGCCTTTTTGTGAACAGTTCTATGTGATGTGCCACACTGTGCATGGCGGAAACCTCTCAAATGTTTGTACGTTTTTCTCCAGGGACCTGTTTAACGCAGCTTTCCTGTCCTGTTGGTCCGAACTGCATGAGGCACAGCAGGATGAGCTGATCCGAAGCATTGAGCAAGCACTCACCTCCCAGGACATTGCAGAAGTCACCCAGACACTGCTGAATCTGGCAGAGTTCATGGAGCACAGTGACAAGGTAAGAGGCTAAACATGAAAAGTGTTAAGTAGTTACATCACACTTCGAAGTAGGACCGTGGCAAATGGAATCGAAAAGTAAATTAATTAACAGGATTCATAAAGGTCAATCGATGAACAGATTATAAAATGCTTGAAAATGTGTTAAAGGATTGTGGATGAGGCACAGTGGTTTTGGGTGGGAGTCAGATATGCAGGGGTTGGTGTAAAACAGACATCAGGAGGGAGTAAAAAGATAATGAAGGGAACTGGGGGGCTAAAGAGGTTGAAGTCATTGTTACCCAGGAGATTAGATACTTGTCTGGAAGTTGCACTGATACAATAATAATAAAAGAGAGTCGAGAGGGGAGCTGAAGGCACGGTCAAAGAGAAAGGTTTTGACCACATCACTCCCACCCTCGCTCGCCTCCACTGGCTCCCCATCCCCCAGAGGATTGATTTCAAGATCCTCATCCTCACCTACAAGGCCATTCACGGCCTTGCTCCCTCCTACCTCTCCAACCTACTATCCCCCTACCTACCTGCCCGTACCCTCCGTTCCTCTGGCTCCGGTCTGCTCCACGTCCCCCGCCCCAACCGCCCTACTATCGGTGGTCGGGCCTTCAGCCTCTCAGCCCCGAGGCTCTGGAACTCTATCCCCCAGTGCCTTCGCCTTGCTTCCTCCCTTTCCTCCTTCAAGGCCGGTCTCAAAACCTTTCTCTTTGACCGTGCCTTCAGCTCCCCTCTCGACTCTCTTCCTCCTCCTCGCTCCCTCCCTTCCCTCCCCTCACCCTGACCATTTCCCCCTCCTCTCTCCCTCCCTTCCCTCCCCTCACCCTGACCATTTCCCCCCTGCTCGGGTCATGACCCAACTGTGCAGCGCCTTGGGACGTCCTCCTGACGTGAAAGGCGCTCTATAAATGGAATCTTGTTGTTGTTGTTGTTGTATTATAATAATAATTTTAATGATTTGGTCACTCAATCCACTACTGTTTGTGCTGTTTGATATTGCTGTGTACAGTTGGCTACTGCATTCCGCCCACAAAACAACAATCACCACACTTTACAGTATATTCTGTGAAGCTCTTTGAGAATTCTCGAAGATGTGAAAAGGCGCTATATCAAATGCCAGGATTATTACTATTATTGAGTTTGATTGGCGTCTATTGAAGTTAAGCCATTCACTCGAAAATATTTGTTTCAAACCAATTCTCAACTTGTACACGTTGATAGTAAATGAAGCCGACCTCTTATTGATCTCCATCAGGGTCCTCTACCGCTGAGAGATGACAATGGCATCGTACTCCTTGGAGAAAGAGCAGCAAAATGCCGTGCATATGCCAAAGCCTTGCACTACAAGGAGCTGGAGTTCCAGAAAGGCCCCAACCCTGCAATCCTCGAGTCACTCATCAGGTAGGTACTGGCTGGGATCTAGAATTTCCAATACTTCTTATTTTTCTTAAAATGGTAGGACTGGAAAAACAAATTAGTCCACGTAGACCTTATCAAAAGTTTCAAACCCACACCATCACACACAGGTCAAACCAGACACAAGATCACCGGTATAACATTAGGGTTGTCCCTGTTATGAGCAACAGAACTGCCTTTTTGTTATTCAAAATAACGTTACATATTATAGATTTCCTCCACTTGAAATCCCACATTCAGTATCTTGTGGCCTTCATATATAACTGTATGTGTTGAAAATGAGTTGGTGATGGTACATGAAGAAAACATTCCTTCTCGCTAGACAGTCTGCTGTTGCCTCATTGTTTTGATAGCTCAGTAGTGCACGGCATGGCATCCACATGATGAAGATCCCAGGTTAATCTTTCATCTGGACTCAATTAGCTGATCACAACTTGGGGAGTGGGGCGGGGGGTAGAATCAAGTGCTGATGCCTTACCATGTTGGGGATAAGGAAGGTTGAATCAGCTCAGATTCTGAGGGAGGAGAAATGGGAAAATCTGAAGAGAAATTTGGAGATTGACGGCAATACCAATAAAGATCAACCTTTTTTTTAATTGGCTGGCTGCCTCGTTTCACCCACAAAATACATTAGAATATACAGCACAGAAACAGGCTATTCAGCCCAACTGGTCTATGACGGTGTTTATGCTCCACACGAGCCTCCTCCTACCCTTCCACAACTAAGCCTTCAGGCATAACCTATTCCTTTCTGCCTCAGGTAACTATCTAGCTTTCCCTTAAATGCATCTATGCTATTTGCCTCAACAACTCCTTGTGGTAGTTCCACATCTTTTATGTCTACCCTATCAAAACCTTTCATCATAAAGCCCTCTATCAGGTCACCCTTACTCTTCTCTTTTCAAGAGTAAAGAGTCCAAGTATGTTCAGCCTTTTCTGATAGGTATAACCTCTCAGTTATGGGATCATCCTTGTGAATCTCTTTTGCACCCTCTCCAGTGCCTCTACATCCCTTCTATAATGTGAGGATGCAATATTCTAAGTATGGTCTAACCAAGGTTTACCATAACTTCCCTGCTTTTCATTTCTATCTAGAAATGAACCCTAATGCCTGGATTGCTTTTTGTATTGCTTTTTTATTGGATTGCTACTTTTAGTCAATTGTGTATGTGTACCCATAGATCCCTTTGCTCCTCTACCCCATTTAGGTTTTTATTTTCCAGGCTGTACATGACTTCCTTATTCCTTCTACCAAAATGTACCACCTCACACTCTTCTGAAATGCATTTGCCATTTAAATGCCCACTCAGCAAGTTTATTGATGTCTTGCTGTAATTTGGTGCAGTCCTCCTCTGTATTAACTCCTCCCCCCAACTTGGTGTCGTCCACAAATTTTGAAATTGTACTGCTGATTCCCGAATCCAAATTCTTAATGTATATTGTGAACAACAGTGCGTCCCAATACCAGTCCATGTAGAACACAATTGCCCACCCCCTGCCAGTCTGAGTATCTGCCAATACTTCTCTCCAAAAGCCGCTGAAACCCTGGTCCATGCCTTTGTCACCTCTTGGCTGGACTACTCCAACGCCCTCCTCGCCGGTCTCCCATCCACTACCATCCATAAAATCAAATCATTCAAAACTCTGCCGCCCGCATTCTCACCCGCATGAAACTCCTCGGGTCTGGCCTCCTCCTCGTCCCCCACTCCACCCTCGGCGGCCGTGCCTTCAGCCACTATACCCCGAGGCTCTGGAACTGCCTTCCTCACTCCCTTCGTCTCGCCCCCTCCCTTCCCATTTTCAGGTCTCTGCTGAAGACCTTTCTTTTCGACCGCACCTTTGGTCACCTTCCTCCTCCTCCTCCTGGCTCCTCCCCCTCCCCCTGGCTCCTCCTCCTCCCCCTGGCTCCTCCCCCTCCCCCTGGCTCCTCCCCTGGCTCCCCCCCTCCCCGGATCCAGGATCCGTTGCTGTAAAGCGCTCTGAGACGCCATGTGGTGTGGAGGGCGCTATAGAAATCCAAGTTGTTCTTTTTGCAATACAATGGTAATTTGATCAGCACTGTGCAAAATAGAGGTAAATGGAAGGTAAGATGTGAATGAAAGCTTTGATCAGAATTAAGTCCGGAGAGGTCTATTTATTTAGATTCTACTGGTTCCATAAACCAACAAGATAGAAATATGGTTTGAGTCAGCCCGCCTGGTTGACTTCTTTGGGACCTGATGTAATAATACTCTACAGGTTTCCATATGACCTTTTTGCTGGGTTTGTGGCAGCAATTTTAACCCATTGTGCTGTCTTTTTCTTTCATGAACTTTTTCTTGCCCATCGGAACTTGGAAATAAGGTTAAAAGTTCAATTGTGCTGACCGCTAACATTTAAAGTGTCGCCCACATAACTTCATTTGAACATTTGCAGCATAATGTTACAACCGTCTGTGTCCCATTCTCCTTTGGATGTTGCCAAATAATTACTGCAGCCATTAACATTAAATAGAAATAATATAATGGAGGTTGCCATTTTTTTAAAAGGTTTTGTAATATTCCAGTTTTCCTTGACTTAAACTGGATATTGTCAGAGCTGGGAGCAACATACTTTTTCCATTAAAATTATTAACAGAATTTCTGACAGCAATGCAAGTACTGACTAAAATGCTTCAATTACAGCCACTTAATTAGATGGCTGTAGTAATGGACTCTTTGAAGTTTTATAGTGATTTACATTTGCAACCTGTTGCTATCTGTTGTTATAGCTGATCCATGTAACATGGGGGAGGAAGAAGTGAGGGGGAAAGTTTGTAGTTTAATATTAGATGATTATAATAGCTAGAGAATTCCTAGTTGCTCGAGGACGACAACAACAATAAAATTACATTTGTAAAGTGCCTTCCTTGTTGGGAGGACGTCCCAAGGTACTGGACAGACCGCATTTTTGACCTGAGCTGGGGCTTGGGGAGGGTGGAGGGCAGGAGGTGAAGCAGGGAGATTGAATGCAGATGGATCGATCAGATGGGTCTTGGAACAACCACAACAAAATGACATTTACAGAGCGCCTTTCACGTCGGGAGGACGTCCCAAAGTGCTGAACAGTCAGTTGGCGGGGCCCGAGCATGGGGGAGGGGTGGTATAGGGGTGAGGGAAGGCAGAGAGGTGGGAGGGAGACCAAAGGCACGGTCGAAGAGAAGGGTCTTGAGATGAAGATGGTGAGAGGCGGCGGCGAATTGGAGGGACTACAAGATGGAATTTCAGAAGGACCCTTCGAGGGTCGTGGACCCGAAACGTTGACTCCCTTTCCTTTCTCCATAGATGCTGCCTGACCTGCTGAGTTTTCCCAGCTCTCTCTGTTTTTGTTTCAGATTTCCAGGATCTGCAGTATTTTGTGTTTTGATAGTTTAAAGTGAATTGACTGTATATTTTGTGGGCAAAACACGACCGCCAATTGCTCATGGCAGTGTCCCACAAACATTTGTGGATCGAGTGACTGAATCTTTTATTTATTTATTTATTTTCAAGGGATTATTCCCCCTGGAAAGTGATCCTAATAACCAAGTTCCTACTTACTGCTAGGTAAAGAGAGGCATGTGGAGTAAGGAAACTTACCCAACATTTCACCCTGCTGGGAATCAAACTCAGGTCCTCTCGCTTGCGAGGCGATTGCTCTAACCACTAAGCAACAGACTCCACTTTGATACAGTTTGATGCTATAGGCACTGTATCAGGTTCAAGGATTTGATGTGTTATTATACAATTTTTATTTATTATACGATTACAACACAACACAGATCTTCTAGTGCTTACTCTTATTTAATTGAAGGTGTCAGTACTGATTAGATGGCTAGCAGAAAACAAACATATTCACCATGTGAAGGCAAGGTATTATGCTGAAACAGTTAATATTTAATGTAGATAATCCTATTGCTTTTTATGTGTCATGTTGCTAGTTAATTTGCAGATGGCGTTGAATAATTATTAAATTCTCCTTTAAACATATTTGTCATATTCTTCACAAGAAAGGTTCAGATGAAGAAAATCCTTCAGCCAATTAGGGTCAGCCAATTTGATCTATCCTTTCCAAAACCCCATCATACCATTTTCCCATCGCAGCATCAAATTATTTTCTAAAGTTAACTCTGGTGACCTTCCTGGCAGTCTTTATTTCCAATCTTCATTATTATTATTGTAGATGGAATGCGTATAAGCCGCATCTACCAACCGTTTTGAAAGCTTTCTTGCATTAATGGGCTGAAAATGGTGGGGTTAAAAAAAGTGTTAAACTTCTGTCTGGATGATCAAGATTGTTTGCCCTGAATCTGTTGTGCAGAGAAAAAGCAGATGGCATCAGGGGACTTTCACTAGTTGTGGAGCAGTTTCTAACTCTTTCCGAATTCCTAAGTACAAATGAGCATTAGAATAATAATTGAATGGCTCCTAAACTGAGCCGATCTACATTTTTTTGTTGCCTCCTGCAAACTGATGAAATTGGTTTGGTTTTGTCATGAATCATTGTAAATAACAATTGATTGCAGTTGTACTAATGTGCATCTGCAGTAATCTACCATTCACTTTAATAACAAAAAGATGTTGTGTTTAAACCTCATTAAACCTTTTTTTTTAAGAGGAGAGCATCTGTTTTTAGTATGAAGATGTGGGAAGGTTTTTGGCATTGAATGTCCTATATTCATATTCAATACTAACTCCTTCAGAGCAGCCCTGAATTAAAAGGGGGCATGGATCTGTACCCCAAATGTTACCAAATGGAGCAACAGCAGCTATGCAGAGAATATCTTGGGTCAGTTGTTTCAGAGTTTCCAGCACTAACACTCAAACAAATTACAGAGCTTGAGCTAATGATCAATGACGACACTCCAGTGCGGTAATAATAATATAATAATCCTTACATTTGACATAGCGCCTAATCACATCTGCTAGATATCTCAAAGTACTTCACAGAATATACTGTAAAGTGACTGTAATGTTTTTCTGGGAGAA